TAGTAGTAGTAGTAGTTGGAAAGGAAATTGTTGTTGCAGTTGCTAAGGAGGTAGTAAAGAAGCATAGTAGTACTATTAGTTGTAGTCAACAAGAGGGACTAGTTGAGTACACGCATGTATACTGTTTATTTAAGTATCAGCAAAAGTAGCTTCTGCAGCAGTAGTAGTGGTAGTAGTAGTAATAGTAGTAGTAGTAGTAGTAGTGGTTGTAGTAGTCCTAGCAGCAGGAATACCTCTATAACTACTTTGCGATTTTTAGCACAAAGCTGTTTTACAAGAGTCCAGATTTGGCGTCGCTCACAAATGGCTGTGACTTTGTTCTGTTTTTTGACCTCTCCAGGATGCCTTACTTTTACTGGGTGGGGGTGGGTGGGGGTGTGGATGTGAATAACTGGTGTGGAGGTGACTGCATCCCCATAAAGACCCTGCCCGGAACAGTAAAAGCAGCATCTGTACTAGTGTTAGTAGTAATAGTGGTTGTAGCAGTAATCATACAAATAGAAAATGCAGGAGGATCCAATGTACTCTAGAGTTATAATAGTACTAGTACTAGTAGTAGTTTTTCCTGGTCTCGTATTTAGTGTATAGAGCTGTGTGTGTCCTGTGTTTTTGACCTCTTTGGGCTGTTTTAATTTTACTAGTTGGGGGATGTGGACTTGAATAGCCAGTGCTGAGGTGCCTGGATCCCCATAAAGTAGCATCTGTAGTAGCACTACTACTACTACTACTACTACTACTACTACTACTATTACTACTACCAGTATTAGTATTAGTAGTAGTAGTAGTACTTAAAGGGGTAACAGTAGTTTATGTAGTAGTAGTATAGTATACTGTGGTAAAGAGAGGTTAAAGAGGTACTATAAGTTTTGGTCTCATGTACTGTAGCATTCTAATAGTAATAGTAGTAGTAGTTTTTCTTGGTGTCATGTACTGCACTGTAGAATTATAGTAGTAGTAGTAGTAGTAGTTTTTCTTGGTGTCATGTACTGTACTGTAGAGTTACAATAGTAATAGTAGTAGTAGTTTTTTTTTGGTGTCATGTACTGCACTGTAGAGTTATAATGGTAGTAGTAGTAGTAATCTCTCTTGGTGTCATATACTGTACTGTAGAGTTACAATAGTAATAGTAGCAGTAGATTTTCTTGATCTCATGTACTGTACTGTAGAGTTATAATAGTAGTAGTTAGTAGTAGTAGTAGTAGTAGTAGTAGTAGTAGTAGTAGTAGTAGTAGTAGTAGTTTTCCTTGGTGTCACGTACTTTATTGTAAAGTTATAATAGTAGTAGTAGTAGTTTTTCTTGGTCTCATGTACTGTACTGTAGAGTTATGATAGTAGTAGTAATAGCAATAGTAGTAGTAGTTTTTCTTGGTACTTGCACTGTACTGTAGAGTTATAATAGTAGTAGTAGTAGTAGCAGTAGTACTAGTAGTACTAGTAGTAGTAGTAGTAATAGTAGTGATAATAGTAGTAGTACTTAAAGGGGTAGTATATCTACTTAACCAGTAGTTTAAGTGATAAAGTAGTAGTAGTTTCTCTTGGTGTCATGTACTGTAGAGTTACAATAGTAGTAGTAGTAGTAGTAGTATTTCTTGGTGTCATGTACTGTACTGTAGAGTTACAATAGTAGTAGTAGTAGTAGTAGTAGTAGTAGTAGTTTTTCTTGGTGTCATATTGATCAGATAGATGTGTGTGTTTGCTGTGTTTTTGACCTCTCTGGGATGCCGTCGTTTTACTGCTTGGGGGATGTGGACGTGAATAGCCGCTGCTGAGGTGCCTGGATCCCCATAAAGCACCAGGGCCCTGAGTCGGGGCCTCCTTCCCAGGCTCGAGCTCTCTTTATGGGCCGGGCTTATGAGGCTGCTCCCCTATTAAACCTCCAGCAGCCCCGCTCCCAGGAATTTAGGGCCAGGAAACAGGCGCGTGGGGGCGGGCAGAGTGGGGGCACGGAGGGGGCACAGGGGGGCAGAGGGGGCGAGGGGGGCGGGGGGGGGGGGGGGGGGGGGGGGGGGGTACGAGGGCAGAGAGGGGGCAGGACCGGGGTGAAGCCGGGGTGAGCGGAGGTGAGAGGTGAAAGGCATGGTCAATGTGCTGCCTGTGTGTAAAGGCCAGAGAAAGTAGAATGTACAATAGAAAGTACTTGGATGTTGGTGGCACTAGGAGTGGTAGAAGTAGTAGTGGTAGACGTAGGAGTAGTGGTAGCAGTAGTAGTAATAGTAGTAGTAGTAGTAGTAGTAGTAGCGGAGGTGAGAATTGAAAGACATGGTCAGAATAGAGAAAGTACAAAAGAAAGTACTTGAACATTGTCGTGGTAGTGGGAGCAGTAGTAGTAGTAGTTGTAGAAGTAGTAGTAGTAGTAGTAATGGTAGAATGGAAAGTAGAATGAAGAATGTACAATAGAAAGTACTTGTATATTGTTGTGGTAGTGGTAATAGTAGTAACAGCAGTGGTTGAGGTAGTGGCAGTGGCAGTAGTAGTAGTAGTAGTAGTAGTAGTAGTAGTAGTAGTAGTAGTAGTAGTAGTAGTAGTAGTAGTAGTAGTAGTGGTGGTGGTGGTGGTGGTGGTGGTATTAGAATAGTAAGGAGATGGAAAAAATGGAAAGTAGAATGGAGAATGTACAAGAGTACTAGTACTAGTAGTAACAATGGTGGTTGTAGTAGTATTATTCGCAGTAGTAGTGGTAGTAGTAGTAATAGTAGTAGTCAATGTGGTGCTTGTGTGTAGACGGCAGAGAAAGTAGAATGGAGAATGTATAATAGAAATGCACTTGGATGTTGGTAGAGCTACTAGTGGTAGTAGTAGTAGGAGCATAGCAGTAGAAGTAGTAGTAGAAGCATACTGCAGTTGCAGAAGTAGTTGTAGTGGAAATGATAGTAGTTAGCAGTTGGAGTGAGTAGAAGTAGCAGAATTAAATTTTGTTTGTTTTATTTTTGTGTTGATTCTTTGAAAATACTAAATTTTGTGCATTATTTGTGTTCTTCATTTACTCCAAATTATAAATCAGATGTTACATTCTGACAGGTAGTCTTACTTGAGTAATTTCTTGGACTACATCTTTGTACTTTTACTTTGAAAATCAGATATCAGGGACTACCAAAGTACTACGATTTATGTTTAAGTTGAAAATCTCATTCTATTGTCTAAATTAAGAGTGTTTATTATTATCACCATGGTAACAGTATTGAGCATAAAGTCTATTCCTAGTAGATTTTGTATTAATTGAGGTTGGTAATAGTATTAGTAGTAGTAATAGTAGTACTTAAAGGGTTAACAGAAGTTTAAGTTGATATACTGTGGTTAAGAGAAGTTAAGGATGTACTATAGAGTGTAGTAAGTTTTGTAGTAATTGAGGGTGGAAGTAGTAGTAGTAGTAGTAGTAGCAGTACTTAAAGGGGTAACAGTAGTTTAAGTAAATATATTGTCATAAAGAGAGATTAAGTACTATAAAGTCTTGTAGGTTTAGTAATAATTCAGGGTAGTAGCAGTAGTAGTAGTAGTAGTAGTAGTAGTAGTAGTAGTAGTAGTAGTATTAGCAGTAGTACTTGGAAGGGAAATTGTTGTTGCAGTTGCTAAGGATCGAAATCGAGTTTGAAATTTTAGTGTCGTGTCAACTACTTGAGTTCATTTTGAAGTAGTTCTGGTTTGAGTACTCCCCCACCTCTGATTAGTAGTAGTAGATAGTAGATAGTAGATAGTAGTAGTAGTAGTAGTATAGCAGTAGTGCATGTTGGTAGGTAACAGGAATAGTGATTAGTGCGACCCCAGAAGGTCAGCTCAAAGGCAGACATTTTTAAGAGAAAGGGGCGGGGCCAAGCTGTTTGATTGACAGCGACTTAAAAGAGACACAATTAGCTGATGGCCAGATGGTCCCGCTGATAAAACTCTGATTGGCAGTTCACATTTGATTGGTTTCTCCTGAGTTTTACTGGTGTCAAGGAGAGAGAGAAGAAGAAGAGAGGGAGGGGGACAGAAAAGAGGAAAAGAGAAGAGAGGGGTAGGAGGAGCTGGCATACCTTTGAATCTAGGCACATCTGATTCCAAAATGTACTCGACTTAAGGTGTAGTGCAGTAGTAGTAGTAGTTGTAGTAGTACATAGTTACATAATTGAAACAAGAAAAGGAATTGGGAGCTATATGACTAAATATGTAATGAAAGTAACAGTAGTAGTAGTTGTTGTAAGTAGTAGTAGTAGTAGTAGTAGTAGTAGTAGTAGTAGCAGCAGCTGTATAATCAAAATGTGAGAAAATATGAAATGTATGTATATGTATTTGGATGGCTCAGTTTTGAAAGAGAATTTAGGGATATAGGATTACATATGTAATAAAAGAAGCAGTAGTAGTTGGAGTAGTAGTAGTAGTAGTAGTAGAAGGTATGAATGCATTGATAGCAGTTTTAGTAGCTTGTAGTAGCAGCTGTTTCAGAGCAAGGCAAGTTCATTGCTGTACAACACAAAAAGTAATTCAAAGTGCTGTACAAGAAAGGCAGTAGTAGTAGTTGCAGTAGTTGTAGTAGTAGCTGGATGGCAAAAATATACCGGACTAAAGATATTGTTGTTAAGTTTATTAGTATAGTGTTTGGAAACAGATTCTGTTTGACCTGGGGACATTTTTTGTCAGGAGTTTTAGGAAGAATAGTTCCTTTTGATAAGGGGTTTAACTGTTACATAATGTGTTTATCACAAAGTCTACTGAAAATGTGACATTAAACTGTCATATTTGCTTTTACAAAACTGCTTGTATGCTGTACTCATTTAAGGGTTAAATTAGATTTTCAAAAAGTGGTATTAAAATAACAGCAACAATATGACATAAAGTCTATTAAAAATGCTGAGGCCAAAACTGTGACCTGAACCTGAACTATTTATTTATTATGAATCATGTCAAAATCTCATCTTGTGTCATTGTCATGTCCCCACACTTATGTCTCATCTCATCTTGTGGACATACTTTTTTTGTCCAAATAGATCCTAAAGTCGTCTCTCTGTGTCTTGTGTTGTTTTCAGCGGTGGAGACACAGAGCACCAGCTCAGAGGAGATGGTGCCCAGCTCCCCCTCTCCCCCCCCTCCTCCTCGAGTCTACAAACCCTGCTTCGTGTGCCAGGACAAGTCCTCGGGGTATCACTACGGGGTCAGCTCCTGCGAAGGCTGCAAGGTACAGACCATTCAACACAAACACACACTGTGTGTGCAGGACGATACGAGCATGGGGAATGCTGCCCTCTGATGGTCACTCTGTGGTACTGCATATTATGAGGAGAGTACTACAGAGTTTAACAGTCTCCACACTGCCAAGTCTACACTAGTTCACCAAGTCAATTCTACATTCACTTTTCCCATAGACTTAAAATTTCAGTTCAGAAGCATCTGGGACATGAACCAGCAACATGTTCATTAATTCATGACATCACGTGGTTGTTTTAAGTTCAGAAGGCAGGAATTAAAAGCAAGATTCTGTGAAATGCTTTTATCATTTAGAAATAAAAAGCTGATTAGCCTGGAGCAAGATTTCAAACTTTTAATATGATTGATTATGATAATATGATTTTTTTTCTGAAAATCCATGTGAAAAATGATTGGGAAATTGAAACCAGGGTCAGGTCACTGTTGACTCCCATGGGTGGTTTTAAATGACGTCACAACACCATAGGTGGGGCGCCGCAGCTAACATCAATCTAGTTAAAATGTACATTTATGTTGTAATATAGAAAGTTCTTGTGCCTTGTCTATAATAGAAATCATCAGGTTTAAATACATTTGTAGACATGTCAGGGCAAAGTAAAGCAAAAGTAATCAGTAGAAAAAAGTGTTCCATCGTTCCCATCTGGGAGGATGACATCATGTATGAAGTAATACTACTAAGAACAAAGTAGTGGCCTGAGGAATTCAGAAAGTGATAGTAAAAATGTTTTTGGTGGAAACTATGAATTCTCTAGCTATAATGTACTATACCGCCACCTGGTGGTCACTCACTGGTACTCCATAGTATACATATATTACACGCAGTACTGGGTCCTTCATACTCTGTCTAATAATCAACAGAAGTAAGAGTAGCCAAGAATTGTATTACTAGAATGAAAGTGTGACATAATAGTACTCAAGTAAAAGTACAAAGTAGTGAACAAGAAATTACTTGAAATGATAGAAATGTTTTTGGGGCAAAATACTATAAGAGAATGCTCTGGAATTAGACTTAACACCTGATTTATCATTTGAAGTGAACGTAACAGAATATTTCTGTTTGTTAATACCCAGTTGTATGTCTGATAAATAATTACATTTTAAAATCTTTTGATAATATTTTTTTTACATTTGTCTTTTAGGGCTTTTTCCGGCGTAGCATCCAGAAGAACATGGTTTACACGTGTCACCGAGACAAGAACTGCCAGATCAACAAAGTCACAAGAAACCGCTGTCAGTACTGCCGCCTACAGAAGTGCTTCGAGGTCGGCATGTCCAAAGAAGGTATGAAAAATAACATATGAAGTCCTGGGTTAACCCTGGTTTAGTCCTAGTTTAGACCTGGTTTAGACCTGGTTTGGTTCTGTGTATCACTGTAATAATGATTAAAATAGTATATTTATACTATTATCATTCAGTGTTTAAATTATGAATTTTGCAAAAGCTCATTTATTAATTCATTAATTTATTTATTTATTTTTTGTAGCGGTCCGAAATGACAGGAACAAGAAGAAGAAGGAGGTGAAGGAGGAGGTGGTGGTTCCTGAGAGTTATGAGCTGAGCGGAGAACTGGAAGAGCTGGTGAATAAAGTCAGTAAAGCTCACAAGGAGACATTCCCCTCTCTGTGTCAGCTCGGAAAGTACACCACGGTAAGAGAGGAGACACATTACACACATTTACTGTTAGAAGGATGCAATAAAAGTCAAACAAATGTGTAACTTTTAGTATTCAAATGAGCTACAACTGTCCTCCCCCTCCTCTTTCTCCTCCTCCTCCCTTCCTCTCTCTCCTGACAGAACTCGAGTGCAGACCAGCGTGTGCAGTTGGACCTGGGTCTGTGGGATAAGTTCAGTGAGCTCTCCACCAAATGCATCATAAAGATCGTGGAGTTTGCCAAACGTCTGCCCGGCTTCACCACCCTCACCATCGCCGACCAGATCACCCTGCTCAAGTCCGCCTGCCTCGACATCCTGGTACTTATCCCGCACACTTTGCACCTGTCACACTTTACATCTGTCACACTACTACAGATCAACCTGCCTCCACATCCTAGTACACAGTCTGTATACTTTACACCGGTGTTACACTATGGCACTATGACAATATACTATGACATTATATGTTACATACTGTTTAATGGGGTTTATAAAGTGTGGTAAATAAATAGGCTACCTGTATATAAGAAATAAAGTGTTCTGATTGATAATTTAAAGTTAATGCAACTGGAGAGAGACACCCAGAAATTTCTGAAATAAAAGCACTTTTGTGTCATTTTGGTTGTGTTTATTGCACTGAAAAACATAGAAAAACACATGTTCTTACTCTTGTACTTATATCACCACACACCTAATTCTTATTTGTCCTGAAGGGTCTCCTCCTGATTGTTTTCATGGAATTGTTGCATCTTTGGTTATAATATTCCACAGTGTGATATTAATCCTTTTCAATTTATCTTCAGAAGAATTTTTAAGAATTATTTTGGAGAATGCTCCAAACTATGGCTTTAACTTTATATTTCCATAAAATCATGCAGGTGGCCTCCAGAAAGTTATATACTATACCTTTAAATAATACATGAAATCTAGTATTTTCAAAGAATGAACAAAAATTAAAAAATAAACCAGGGCCATGAACGCTCATTTTGATCACAGCTTCCTGAAAATGTGTTGAGTTTTCAGGCTATATTCAAATTAACTGCCATTTTTTTCTAATGTGTTACTGATAGCGTGATATATCACTGCAAAGTATGGTTTCTAGCCAGTCCTTTCCAAAGAAATGCTTTCTCTCTGCTGCAGATGCTGAGGATTTGCACACGGTACACTCCGGAGCAGGACACCATGACGTTTTCAGACGGCCTGACTCTGAACCGCACACAGATGCATAACGCAGGCTTTGGGCCCCTCACTGACCTTGTGTTCGCCTTCGCTGGACAACTGCTGCCCCTGGAGATGGACGACACAGAGACCGGCCTGCTCAGCGCCATCTGCCTCATCTGTGGAGGTACTGCAGCTCACTCACTACACGGTACAGCATGTGCATGTGCAAATGTAGAGAGACCACAAGGTAACAGTGTCTCAATGGTTACTATACTTGCATTTGTCCACTGACTCAAAGTTCAGCAGAACAAACCCCACTTTGACCTGGTACTGTTGTATTTGGGCAAGACACTTACATGCATATTTTAAAGGTGTGATATTCCACCTCCATACTTTCTCAAAAACAGACCTACAGTTGTGTTTTGTTTCATTCACATATTTTGAGTAGCCCTTTATTATTAGTCTGTTTAAGGTCAATATGCTCCGTTCTACCAAGTTCACAGCAGCTCCTTTTGCCTTTAGTTCAGTAGAGGTTGGCAATTTTAGGACTGAAATGATCCAAATGCTCCTAGTGAAGGTGTATGGAGTTTAGAAACTCTTTGAGTGTATTGAAATCTGTGATATTGTTGTTGTTCAGACCGTCAGGACCTGGAGGAGCCTCAGAAGGTGGACAGGCTGCAGGAGCCTCTGCTGGAGGCTCTGAAGATCTACACCCGCCGCAGACGCCCAAACAAACCACACATGTTCCCACGCATGCTCATGAAGGTGACCGACCTGCGCGGGATCAGCACCAAAGGTACACTAACGCACACAATACACTGACTCATTCACTATACAGGAAGGTATAAGTACTGCATGACTTCTGAGTAACTGAGGGTAGTATACAGTTAAATTATGTGTTGTGCTAAAATGTACTGGTGGTGACTGAGTAGCTTAGACTCACTCCTCACAGCAGAAAGGATCCAGGTTCGATTCCTGGGCCCACAAACAGAAGAGAGGCTGCCAACCACCATCAAAACTCACATACTCAATACGTTCATAAAACTGTGTGTGAAGTGTCTTGCCTAAAGACACAATGACAGTTTGGACTAGAATAGTGTTTCCCAAACTTTTTTTATGGGGACCCATATTTTAAAAGTCACAAACCTTTGTGACCCAAGTCAATAGACATTATTCATAAATCACAAATAAATGAGCATTATTGAACATTAATGAGGATATTTTATTGTTGACTCAGTGATTGTGTCTCTGAACAATTAGTATGACTCAAGTTTTAAACAATGAAAAACAGTGATTGAAGCAGCAATAAAAAGATCCAGAAGTGTAGCCCATTTCTTTTTCTTTTTAACATTCAATTGAACCAGCAATATTGGAACAAAATAGTCAATAAAATAATTACAAAACGATTAGAAATTATACAAAACACGTCTTGACATTTGAACAATTCTACTGAGATAGATGGGCTTGTCTGTGTTTTTGTAACTTGTTTCAGGGGAAAGGGGAAAGACGTTATTGCTCTTCTTCCTACGGGATTTGGGAAAAGCTTAATATACCAGTTAGCCCCATTAGCGGCGCATTACATACATCACGACCAAATAGCAGCGATTGGTTAAATACAAAAAGTGCCGCCTACCATCGAGCGAATGAATCTTAATGCTACGAGGTCAGACGGTTTCCACAAAGTGAAACTGACTGATGAATCAGGCTAGATTGTAACAAGGTGACCCAAAAAAAATTCCTTGAGACTCACCTGAGGGTCATGACCCAGTCTTTGGGGAACAATGCACTCTCCCATCCAAGTCCTAACCAGACCCAGCCTTGCTTAGCTTCTGAGATCTGATGAGATGGGTTGAGATGAGGTTTGGCCACTGCATCATCAGCCCCCCACAGATTTCCCATAAAACATCCAATCACATCTAAAAATGTTCAAGTGTCAGATCTTCACCTCAAACACAAATGTATCATACTTGTTTGTGTTTGCAGGCGCAGAGAGAGCCATCACCCTGAAGACAGAGATCCCTGGACCCATGCCTCCTCTGATCAGGGAGATGCTGGAGAACCCCGAGGCCTTCGAGGACAGCTCCGACTCGGGATCAGGCGAGAGCAGCACCCCCACCCCGCCGGGCCCCCCTCCAGCCATCCAGGCCATCAAACAGGAGGACAAGTCCACGTACGAGTCCCCCGCCGAGGAAGAGGAGGAGGAGGAAGAGGAGGAGGACTTTTGGGAGGAGGAGAGAGACAGAGAGAGGGGGGAGAGCGATGGAGAGACCAGCGGAAACAAGCAGTGAGGAGAGTGGACAGCTGAGGTTAAAGGTCCCATATTACGAAAAACAGAAGCTTAGAATGTTGTTACCTCCTTAAAAACAACCATGGAGCACTTGGTATTACCTGTATTACCACTTAATGACGTCACGAGGTGGAACAGAGTGTTTTTAGTTTAAACTGTTAAAACACAGCCAAAATATGCATGTTTTTGATGAGGAAACAACATTCGAACATCAATTAAACATGAGTGTAATATGGGCTCTTTAAAGTGTGATGGCGCGGTCTTGGGTCGGTACAGTTTCGTTAATTTGGTTATAAAAACGTTAAAAACACAACTAGTTCATTTTCAACAGTTTGCAGTTCTCCACAATGAGTTTACCATTGTTGTAAAGTAAACAATTCGCATGCTAGTAGTGTACTTCCTGATTATCGGATGCTAAAACGCTTCATAATGATATTCAGACAGAACACTGATCTTATTTTTTCTTATTTTTGAAGGTGCACTATGTAATTTTTTGGTTAGGGGTCTGTCACTTGCTGGTTTCTATGGCGATGTCATTGCTCTGTCTGGAATGTTCCACAGTATGACATTAAACAGCTCTACCTTGCAGTATATTTATTCAGTTACGTACATTTATAGCTCAAAAATACCTAAAAAATGCCTAGTGTTGTGACTGTGAGCGGGGTCGCCTCTCCATAGATCTGACCTGTAAATTGGTGTAGTCTGGGCTCCATGAAGATAGAAACATTTAAAGCCATACTGTGAAACAGAGGTGGGACTTGCAAGTCACGACTTGGACTCGAGTCAGATTTGAGTCACTATTTTTAGGACTTGAGTCTTGATTTGATAAAATGGACTAAGACTTGGGACTTGACTCAGACTTGAGGCTTGTAACTTGAGAAGACTCGATGCTTCTCCTAAAAAAACTGTTTTAGAAAATACTTTTCTCTTCATAGTTGTGTTGAGGAAAATAACCTTGCGTGTTCTTTAGTTTCTGCTTAGAAAAAAAATTACCATTGAAACAGAAATAAAGTCCAGATAATTTACTTATTCCAATATTAGAAAAGTCATACTTGTACAAAGAGTCTGTGCTGACATTCCCATGCAGAGACTGAATATTTACACCTATACAATGATTTTTATATACAAACTATAGTGGGAGGCGACCGTGGTTTAGACTTAGTGCCTCTTCGTTGGTGCACAGGTCAGCCAGGCCTCTTGGCACGTTGCACAATCTTATCTGATTGTGACAAGGATCCCCCGGATTCATCTCACTCCCCTTACAGGAGCATCTTGCTGGTCTGATCAGGGTGATGAGTTCTGAGTCTGCATATCCCTATCAATAAGTCCTTGCCCTATTTAGTTAATTGATCAGACATATAGATAGATAGAAATAGAATATCTTTTACATGAACTGAACCTATCTCTGCATCCCTCAGCTGTAATATGGTCCCTGTTTTCTGGGTCATTGTATAGTGAATAATAATAGTACAATAATAAAATATAGCAGTACATCAATAACATCATAGCAGTAGTTATACACCACCTAAGCCTAGTTATTTATCCCAACAGTTGATAAATGCAGTACTGAATTTTACAGGAACAAAATGGAACATGTCCCTCCCACTTCTGTTTGGTACTTTGGATGGAACTGAAGTACTGTGATACTCAAATGTACTACAGTAATATACTTTACAATACAGTAGGGAACTATAAAGAACATGATCCTTTCAGTTCAACGCAGACTACACGAGAAAATTACTGTTATTAAGCATGTTTAAATCTTAATTCTTTCTATTCTGAACTTAGCATTTCTTAGCATTTCTACAACTCTTTTTTTCCACAACAATTTAGTTTAAAAGTCATATAAACAGCAAAAATCTAAGCTATATTTGGTATTTTGGTTTAAAGATTTGAAGTGACTTGAAGCCCAAAGCAGACGACTTGGACTTGACTTGGACTTATCAGCCAGTGACTCGAGACTTGACCTGGACTTTCCTGTATTTGACTTGGGACTTGACTCAGACTTGAGGGCAAAGACTTGAGACTTACTTGAGACTCTTAAAACATCGACTTGTCCCACCTCTGCTGTGAAACTTTCCAGACAAAGCAGTAGCATGTCCACGGAGAAAAGCGTTTGACGGACCCTAGACCAAAAAGACTTCTTAAGAATCTTTTCCACAACTACGATTCCTTTTATCACCTACGAGTGTTTTATCGATGCAAGCGTACCGACCCAAACCGCGCCATTCCACACGTGATATACCAGGCCAACTTTGAACCTCAAACCCTCACTCTGATGGCTCTTAGCAACCACATCCTCTGTACAGACTCTACACCAACGAGGTATAAGGAAAAGCACTAAACCTACGACGTGTGCCAAAACTGTTCACGAATCCGCACCAAAAATATCGTGGATTCGAGACGCTGAACTGCAATAAAAAGGGCTTCGAACTTTGCTTTTTTGGATTCCATTTGTGGCAATAATAAACACGACGCCCATTTGGTGCAGTTGTATTCCTTTACAGAGATATGCGACTTATTTTTTTATCATGCGTTTTTGAACATGTATACGTTTTGTGTGTTTGTTTTGTTTTTGTTTTATTTTCTCTTGCGTATATTCAACGTGCTTTTATTTTTGAAAGACTGGAGAATACGTCATAGGAACAAGGGATGCACCGGGCCAGCTTTTACAGTTCAGATACCGATTTCGATACTATAGCTTTAACTATCTGCTGATACCGATATGAACCAATACTAGAGCAGAAACTGAAATGAGCTTTTATTTTCTTAAAACAAAACTGAAATAAGACAAAACTGATCCAAGTGTGTTATGTAGCTGTTATTTATCTCACAATTATACTACTAAACAGGCCCGTCGACAGAAATTTGGGGGTCCTGGGGCAAGCACACTCACATGGGCCCCCCTATATTTTTTATTAATAGGCAAAGCTTTCAATTTTGGGCCCTTAAAACTCCGGGGCCTGAGACAAGAATCCCCTTTGTCCCCTCTTGTCTTCTGCCCTGTGTAGCGTTCCTGATGTTTGGAGGTTACGATCCAACAGAGCAGCTCAGAGTCACACGGACACCACACACAAAAGGAGCTGAGCGGCTTCAAAATCGTACTCGAAAACAAAAACTCGAGTCTTGCCTCCCTGAACTCTAGGAGAAGCAAATTGCAGCCAAAATCTCTCAAGTTTTCCTGCAATGTGTGGCAGTCTTAATGCACACAGACATTTTTATTTGCCAAATAAAAGTACTAGAGAACACCTTTATTTTGTGAAACATTTAAAGTATCAGAAAAATTATTTTCATGTGAAAATTTTGACTTTTTGGATAGATTTCTCCTCATCTATATGCAGTGTTGGGAAGGTTACTTTTAAAATGATTACACAGATTACAGATTACATACCCCAAAATGTAGTTTGTAACATAATTCATTAAATAACTTAAAATGAGTAACGTAATCTGAATACTTTGGATTACTTGATATTGTCATGTTTTTTAAACTACATTGTTGTAGCAACCACATCCTGAAAATTATTGTTTGTTTTCTTCAAATTGTCTGTTGAGCCCAAATGTCCATGAACAGACTTTTGTTTACTGTAGAGAAGCAAAGATGAGGATCTGAACATAAGAAGTTTTATCTGCTAAAAGAAAACAAAAAGTCCAGTCTTTACTTACACATATTAAAAATATTATTGATAGAGAAATGATTTTTATAGGAGATCACTGCTGCCTTCAATTATGTCCACCTACTGTTAGTGTCATATTGTTTAGACCTGGTTTAGACCTGGTTTTATTCCTGATTTAGTCCTGCTTTAGACCTGGTTTAGACCTGGTTTTAGTCCTGATTTAGTCCTGGTTTTAGACCTAATTTAGTCCTGGTTTAGATCTGGTTTAGTCCTGGTTTAGTTCTGGTATTAGTCCTGGTTTCGCCCAAAATGTGAAAACAGGAACATACCTCCATGTAATCCATTTATTTCAACAAAGTAACTGTAATCCAATTACCACTCACTGAAACTGTAACTGTAACTGAATACATTTACTCATAATTTGTACTCTGATTACATAATGCCGGTACATGTAATCTGTTACTCCCCAACACTGTCTATATGTTTGAAATCTCTACTTTCTGTAATCATTTCTTATATTTACAACAGCTATTATCGCACTAAATTAGGTCAAAATGATGTACAATTATAAACAATTTCAAACATTAACATCAGAATATCGGCTGAATCGATATTCAGAAGCCGATATCTGACCCAGCAATGTTTTCGGGATCGGCAGCGATGTATAATACCAGTATCATATCGGTGCATCCCTTATAGGAACATTAGCAATGATATTTAGGTCAAGCCATGAGCGGGACTCGAACTTACAGCAGTTATTCAAAATGGTCTTCTTGGTCTTGTTTTCGTCAAAAAAAATAAATGCAAAAATTGTGAATCTGCAGGGTAGATTTGAAACGACACGACTCAGGTGATCCGCAATGTTTTTATACAATTTGAAAATGAAATAGGACTTTGAAGTAATACCTAGATAGTTACATGGAAAAACATTTGAGTAGTAGTACTAATGGTGTGTTATGTGTTGGTATAGCCTTCCATAATTGTCATGGTTCTTTAAATACATTTACTGGAATATAACATGTTTTAATTCATATTTTATACTTTTATTTAACCAGGAAACTTGATTGGGAATTTAAGTTTGTTCTGATCACCAAAGAAGCAGTCAACATGATACAATAACACACAACTGCACTGTGTAATTTTTCAGCTGAGGGTCCCTCACCTGCTTGTTTCTATGGATACGCCATTGCTCAACTTGGAATGTTCCACAGTGTGACATTAAACAGCTCTACCTTACATGTATTCAGTAACAGGTGGTTTTATAGCTCAAAAATACCAAGAAAAACAACATTCTGACTGTGAGCGGGGTCGCCTCTCCGCAGATCTGACTTGTAACTTGGTCTGGTTTGGTTCTGGTTTGGTCTCCATGAAGAAAGAATGGTTTAATGCCATACTGTGAAACATTCCAGACAAAGCAATAACCTTTCCATGGAGAAAAGCAGAAAAAAACTGACCCACGAGCAGAAAAGTTACACAATGTACCTTTAATTATCAATATTATTATTATTATTTATATTTTTTTTAACTTTACAAGAATTTATCAAAACAAAACAGTCCAAAACAGATGTGCCAAATGTGTAAAGTAAAAATGTGCAACAAATCTATGCAAAAAAAACATTAAAGTGGGACAATGTAACTTTTCTGTTGGAGGGCACATCGCCTGCTTGTCTCCATGGAGATGTTACTGCTTGTTATTGTCTGGAATGTTTCAGAGGGTGGCATTAAACATCATCTCTAGTGTCTTGCGATTACAGGTGTTAGTTTTGCAAAGATAACACATTGAAACTTTCCGCAGATCAGACCTGTAACTCCTGGCGTCGCTTGCTTGTCTCCATGGAGATAGACGTGTTTATGGCTGCACTGTGGAATATTCAAAGCAAAGCATGAACAGCTCAAGATTGTTCTAAAGCTATTCAGGAACTTCATTTCTGTCCTGTGAATGTGACTTTTTAGTATCGATAGCTGCGAAAAATGTTTTAGAATGGATTAATATCTGATTGTTGATACTTTTGATGACCGTAACCCATGGAGACAAGCAGGTCCGTAAGAAAAGTTATTTATTGTGCGTTTAAGTGGTAACTATTTTAACTATTAGAACATGTTCATTTAAAGGTGCATTGTGTAACTTTTCCAGTGGAGGATCCATCGAATGCTTTTCTACGGAGGGCTCATAACAAACGCAAACGCCGCAACAAATAGCAACGCGACAACACGAATGCAAACACAACAACAAACCAAAAAAAGCCACAACGGAAGTGACCACAGGACTCTATTTTAATGCAAACACTGCAACACAAATGCAAACGCCACAACAAACCAAAAAAAGCCACATCGGAAGTGACCACAGGACTCTATTTTCCGATGGACCAAGCGACAGTCAGACAGTGACATTGATCCTGACCACAAAACAATAAATTACTTTTACTTACATTTCCAAATCCATTCAAATCTCTGTTCTTTTACTTTTCACATTCTTGTTCTTCTTTAACTTTTTCCATTCACTTCCCGCTTGATCCTTTAACGCTTCGCTTGGTCCATCGGAAAATAGAGTCCATTGTGGCTTTTTTGGTTTGTTGAGGCTTTTTTTTTTTGGTGTGTTTTGGCGTTTGCATTTGTGTTGTCGAGTTTGTATTTGTTGTGGCGTTTGCTTTTATTATGAGCCCTCCCGTCCTCTGTACTTTTCTCCATGGAGATCTTTTTGCTTTGTCTGGAATGTTTCACAATACATTGCAAAAAGTAATATCTATCTAAAATTCAAATGATCCACATTAAGAAGATTTAACTTGCTTTCAGTAGATTTCAGTAGATTTATCTGCCAATGGAATAAGTATTTTAGTATTAGTCTTAATTCAAACAACATATGATTTAGTTTCCTATTTTAAGTGCAAAGAATTTTTTTTCTTATCTTCAGTGTAACTAGGTGTATTTTCCTATTTCATCTAAAAAAAAAGACTTGTTCCACTGGGAGATACTTTGATTTATCATGTGAAATTTACTCAAATCAGTAGAACATGTTGTTAATTCAAGTCATTTTAACTTGGCAGGATTTCAGTTTTTGTAGTGTATGACAGAGGTAGGGACTTGCAAGTCGTGACTTGAACTTAAATCAGACTTGAGTCACTATTTTTAGGACTTGAGACTTGACTTGATAAAATGGACTAAGACTTGAGACTTGACTTGGACTTAAAGATCAGTGACTTGGGACTTGACTCGGTCTTGAGGCCTGTGACTTGAGAAGCACTTTTAAATCTGAATTCTTTCTATTCTGACTGTAATGATTCACAGTAAGATCTCGTGAAGACATTCAAAAAAATTTTTTAAAAATTTACAATTCTACAACTCTTATATCAGGCATGTCCAAACTATGGCCCGTGGATCAAATGCAGCCCTCAGACAAATTTTTCTTGGCTCTCAGGCTTCCAGGTGAATTGGCCCAAATTACCTTGCATCAATTAAAAATTAACTTTTTAGCACAAGTTTTTTGAAAATCTACCTTGATAAAGCCAATATTTAATATTTCGTGTGTGGTTTTAAGGATCTTAGCAAGAATAAAGTCTAATGTCTCATTCTAACGTGTTAACATGCACTTATTTCATTTATTCACTGTATTCAGCATCAGTCTACAGCCCTCGATCAGCCCTCTGCTTCATCTGTGTTTACATATGTGGCCCTTGATGAAAAAAGTTTGGACACCTTTGTCTTATATACTCTATAAATACTCATACATAAATATACTATGATTTAAGATTAATTTTATGATTTAAGTACAATTTAATTTAAAATTCATATAAATTGCAAAAATCTAAGTTTATTTGGTTTAAAGACTTGAAATGTCTTGAAGCTCAACTTGGACTTATGGGCCAGTGACTCGAGACTCGACTTGGACTTGCCTATATTTGACTTGGGACTTAACTCGGACTTGAGGTCAAAGACTTGAGACTTACGTGAGACTTGCAAAACAACGACTTCTGGTCTGGTGTTAAACCCTTCTATCTTCATTGAGTTTTTCTTGGTATTTTTTGAGTTTTAAAACCACCTGTAATTGAATAAACATAAGGTAGAGCTGTTTAATGTCACACTGTGGAACATTCCAGGCAGAGCAATGACATCTCCATGGAAACCAGCAGGTGACAGAACCCCAAACAAGTTACACAGCGCACCTTTTATCCAATTATTTTAGACCAAAAGACTTCAGAGGTTCAGAAATGTATTACTGATCGCATTACAAAGATGGAATTACCATGTACCGTTGTTTTCATAGTTAGTTTGAAACGTTTTGTGCTAAAATTGTGTGTAGGTGGTGCAATATTAAGCCATAAGAGCCCAAAGCGGCTTCGAAATAAAAGTACAAAATGACCAAAGATCGTATTTTAACAAGCTGAAACTAACAGTGTATTTTAGAACCTGTTTTGACACTTTGAAATTTTGCCAAGATCTTCAGGTTCAGGAGATGTGTTACAGATACGCCGTTGGAGACATGTTTATAAAGTGTGTGTTGTACTTGTGTATGGACTTGTGTTATTGTCTTTTATGTATTTTGATAAATGTATGTATTTTGTTCTCAGATTCGGTGTCGTCTCTTGTGTCGCGAAGTAAGACTCAAAATGCGAAACTGGTAAATAGTGACATTTTAATCAACAAAACAGCACCAGGGATGGAAATAAACTGAAAATTCCCCAAATAGTTCAAACTCAAATCTTAGGGAATCACAAAAATGACCTCACAGAAGGACAGGGCCATGAGAATCAACCAACAAAGGGCAAGAGGAGGCGAACATAAGTATAAGTATCGTGTCACTTCTCTTTCCTCACTTCCTTCTTGATTCCTCTTCTAGGTTTTAACTTTTTCAGCTGTCAATCAAATGCGTCATGTTAAGGAGATGAGAAAATCGTGGAGGAAGCATGAGCGAGGGAAGCAAAAGGAATCTGTGTGTTATTCGTTCATTCGTTTTTCAAAATAAAACCAAAAATAAGAAAATGAAAAAATAACTATTTTCTGCATTATTTGACTCCGAAACCAAAATAAAATAAAAATAAATAAAAAACAGATGATTTGTTTTTTCAGTTTTTGATTTTGTGTTTAAATGAAAAATCGAAAAACGGATAACGACCGTTTCCCGTTTCTGTGACTTAAACTGTGATGCCGGGCTTTTGTGCCACATACGGTCTGAACCAGGACTAAAACAGGACTAAACCGGTCTCAGTCCTGGTCTGGTCCCGGTCTCAGTCCTGGTCACCCGACAGTCTATGCGGGCGCACCTCTGGGCTAGTCCCGACACTCAGTCCTGTTTTAGACCTGGTTTTAGTCCTGCTTCAGTCCGGCATCACAGTTTTATTTTCAGAAACGGGAAACAACTGTTATCCGTTTTTTCCATTATTCCTTTAAACACAAAATCCAAAACTGAAAAAACAAATCGTTATCTGTTTTTTCGTTTTGGTTTTGAAGACAAATAATGAAAGAAAACAGTTATTTTTTTTCGTTTTCTTATTTTTCGTTTCATTTTGAAAAATCGTTGAACGAATGACACACGGATTAAAAGGGATTAAGGAGCAAACATCAGATCACATTAAAACTGATAAACACATATATTTAAACACATATTATATAACGTATACACATATATTTTATCAGAAAGCAAAGACATTGACTTTAATTTAAAAGTTCAGTCCTCAGTAGGGATGTAACAATATCCAAATCTTTCGGTACGATATTATCACGATATGCATCTCATGGTACAATAGTTGATATAATTGCAGAAAGGACACATTGCTGCTTTTAAAATACCTTGAGAAGATTTTGGAATAAATTATTTTCCAGCATAATCCCAAGAATTCAAGTAAAAAGCATATTTCTTCATGTTGTCTGCACTGAAATTAATCATGGGATATGTAGTTTCCGATGTTCATGCATTTTAGCAAAGGAACTTGTGATTCGATATATTGTGACAGCCCACGCTATTATTGTAAGACTTTTGATGATACGATATGAAGATATTTTGGTTATTGTTACATCCCTAGTCCTCAGTGTAGTGACCCTGTGCTCCTCCTCTACTCTCTCTTCTGCATAATACTGTAAAAACAATGTCCTAGCAATGATACAAATAATATCTTTTACTATTTTAACCAAATACATTTTGGACTGAATCTGGAATTCACAAATGTTCAGGCCACAACACCAAATGTACCACCGCTCTACTCTAGTTATCTATATTTACCTATGTAAACTTAAATCATGACAAAATACTATTATTATTGCTGGTTCCGGAAGTACATTTCTCATTCATTTTCCCCATACACTTTCAGTAAAAAAGAAATAATATTAAAAGTTTGAAAGTTCAGAGTTCTGACCACAAGACACAAGACTTTTATTAAAAATCTGTTATTAAAGCATTTCACAGAATCTTGTGTTTTAAATGTGCTTAATGGGTTTAAAACATTTGCCTTATGGTTAGTACAGGGTTCCCACTCTTCCCTGACAAAATTTCAAAACTTTTCCATGACTTTTTCATGACCTAAAGTGAATTTTCCATGACTTTACAGCACCTACATGTGTAGAATTGATCAGACTTTTAGGGCTAAATATGAAATGTTAACTCTTTCCACCCACCTTATGGTTTGGGATAATAGTTTTTTAGTCATAACATTTTTATTGAGCAGAAAACAGAGCACAACTCAAATTGTACAGGATTAACAGCGATCAGTACTTTTTGGTATATAAAGGTTAAAATAAAAATAAATCTCACAAAAATGAGAACAAACATAACAACAGCCTGCGGAGGTACAGATATCTGAGAATTTGGAGATGTTATTCACGTAGTTACAGATTCTAAAGTCTAAGTCAATAAAAGGTTGCCACACTTGAACAAATATCGTATTCTCTTCAGATGTAAAAAAACAAGGCCTCCTCGCCATATTTTAGAGCTTGGTACTGACGGCCCCTTCCATGACATTAAGAGTAGTTTCTTTACGTTAATAAGACAATGGGATTCTAGTTTTTAACATTCAAAATCCTGTCTGTGCATTTATTGTCGTCTCTTTTAAACAAAAGGCCCAGATGTTCAGAAATCATCAGAATAGCTTCATTAGAACTTACAGTAGTTGCGTGAAAGAGATACTAAAATTCCATGACTTTTCCAAAACTTTCATTGACTTTATAAAAATTCCAGGACCTTTCCAGGATTTCCATGAGCGTGGGAACCCTGTTAGTAGTTAACATGAAGCTGGTTAGGCTCTGCAAGGTCTTTGAACTCTTTATATTTGACATTTTTAAAAAGTCTATGGAAAAAAATGAATGGAAATATCTTTGTGTTTCTTTCTAGTCTTTGTTTGAACTCCGTGATAATGTTTCAAATACGTCAAATGCAGAGTCATTATATTTTCATGGTACCTTAAAATAAGATGTTATAAGATATGATCATGTTTTTTTACGCACATAGGAGGATTTTTACCATTTTGTCTCATTCATTCTTAATAATAGTTTACAACAGAAGAGGCCAGGTGTGAAAACTCAAACAACATGCTAAATAATAATCATAAAAATAAAAAAAAGCATTTAAAAAGATCTAAAATCTAACTGAAGAAAAATACTAGTAACAACTTGATGCCTTGTTGCATTTGAGGAGGACTCTACCACACATAGGGGTCACACAGTTCACTACAGGGAGAGAAGAGACACAGGGAGGAGTTAAAAAGAATGTAAAAGAAGAAAAGATGTTTTAAAAATTGAAATAAAGTTCAGATTGTAATGGTAGGAACATATTAAAGAAACTGTATAGACTTTTGATTTGAAATTCCACACAGAGATGTTGCAGTTACCTCAGGGCGGGGTCAGTGAGTTTAGGAGCCATTAGATTCTCTTTGGCAGATTCGTACAGCTCCTGATCCTCAGCCTGGAGAAGAGATAAAAACTGACTGTGACTCTTAGAATCCCTCTTTTATCCATTTACAGATGGATGAGGTACTAAATGGTAACTAGGTCTTCGCAAAAACCCTGGAAGTGCGAGTTCAGGCACCAGCCAATCAGACAAGAGCCAGACATTCTATGTTGGCAACATCTCAATTCCTGAGATCGAGGATTTAAAGCCGGAACAAAGAGAATGTTTGGTGAATTTTATCAAGGGGAAAGACGTTACTGCATTTCTTCCTACAGGATTTGGGAAAAGCTTAATAATTTCCTCCACAAACAACAAAATCTTCTGTCTTACTCTGCATAAAAACTCTTAACCCTGTAGTTTAGATCTGTACATCTTCTGAAATGAGATTCTTGTATTAGTTTGTCAGTTAAAATTCAAAATTCAAATAGTTTTGTCAATTCTTCTTCCCATTTTAAATGTGATCTTTGAACAGAATCCTTATATTAAAATGTAAAACGCAAATTTAACTGTAATCACAATGATCGTCAGACAAATCTCAGTTTGATCTTTTTTCCAAATCATTCATCCCTGGTGTCCAACCTTCTTGTCTCCATGGAGATGTTATCGCCTTACCAATAATATTTCTGTATATATATATATATATATATATATATATATATATATATATATATATATAGATATAGATAGAGAGAGAGAGAGAGAGAGAGAGAGAGAGAGAGAGATGCTGGCAGGGAAAGCATACATGGAGCGACATAACCAAGTGGCGGGCATAGTGTACAGAAACATCTGTGCAGAGTACGGGCTGGAGACCCCAGGATCAAGGTGGGAAACACCTCCAAAGGTTGTAGGAGAAGACCGAGCCAAGATCCTGTGGGACTTCCAGATACAGACTGACAGGATGGTGATGGCGACCAACCAGACATAGTGGTGGTGGATAAGAAACAGAGCAGAGCCGTGGTGGTGGACATCACAATACCAAGCAATGGTAATGTCAGGAAAAAGGAACACGAGAAACTAGAGAAATACCAGGGGCTCAAGAAAGAGCCGGAGAGAGCCTGGAAAGTAAAGGCATCAGTGGTGCCTGTGGTGATCGGACACTCGGGGCTGTAATCCCCAAACTGGAAGAGTGGCTACAACAGATACCGGGAAAAACAACGGACATCTCAGTCCAGAAAAGTGCAGTACTGGGAACAGCAAAGATACTGCGCAGAACTCTCAAGCTCCCAGGCCTCTGGTAGAGGACCCGAGCTGAATGAGGGTGAGAGACCAACCACCATGGAAGGTGAGAAACAAATTTATTTTTTTATATATATATATGTTACATGTCAGATCTGTGGAAAAATGAGCCCACTCACAGTCTGAATGCATGTGTTTTATAAGGAATTTGTGAGCCATGTGATTGAATAAATGCAGAGGCGGTGCTACTGTTAGGCAAACGTAGGCGGCTGCTTAGGGCCCCCAAACCTGTAGGAGCCCCCAACCAATTGCCCCTAGTGCCACTAACTGCCGAGACCTCAGAGCAATTTGATTTTCTCTCAATATGACATACTTACTTTACTTTACTTTTAAACAATAATCATGAGAAAATTAAATAAAATAACTGACGTGTGAAAGTGAAGAAGGACTCACCTGAAAATCTGTGGAGACAGGGGAGAGAGAGGAAGAAGAGGAGGAGAGACGATCTTCATCATCAGAGGCTAAAACACAACAATGTGATGCTGTTATCATTTCAGAAGGGCAGGGCCTGTATAACTTCACTGTTTTTGAAGGAAATATTCAATAACATTGCATTATTATTAGAAAAATAGGTTCCACAAACTTTACAGACTCATTTTATTTCTTATTTAGCAGTACAGGGCATTGAATCTTATGTCTAGAGGTCCTATCCAAAATATTCACTTTTTGAGGTCACATGAATCAAACTATTCACCAAACTTTACAGAAATTCCACTCTGGGGGCGCATCAAATCTTTTGTGACTAGACGTTATAATGAACAAAACTAATAATAAAAAGTAGAAGGTATAAGAAGTTAAATAAAAAGCATTCTCAGTTCAATATTTTGTGTATTCATGATGTAAAAACTCACATGTATCTCCATCAGGTGCTTTTGTGCAGGGATTATCTTCTGACATCTATAACCAAAAACACAGAAGAAATTGCTAAAAATATAAAACCTTAAAGATCTTAAATCATTCCATAATAAATACTAGGGATGTAACAATAACCAAAATATTGTGATATCGTATTGTCAAAAGTCTATCAATAATATCATGGGCCACCACAATATATGAAATTACAAGTTTCTTTGCTTAAATTCATCGTTATGGTGCAGCAACAGCTAAAAAAAAAAACAGAGGGAACTACATAGACCATGATCCTTTGCTCCGATTTGGTGTAGACTACAAGAAGAAATAACACTTCTAAACACTTTTAAGTCTTAATTCTTTGGATTAAATCTTGTCAAGGAATTTTAAAAGGAAAAAATAGCATATTCAGTTTTGTTTGCCCCCACAAAATATCGCAATAAATATCGTACCGTGATATTTGGATATCGTTACATCCCTAATAAATAACTCTTTATATGAATGACTGGTTACTGTTCATTTTACATTTATGCAGAATTGAATTAGTGGTGCAAATTGTAAACTAAACTCTTTATTAATCGCACTATGTAACTTTTATTTGGAGGTGTTGTTGCTTTGCCTTGAATGTTCCACAGTACAGCATTAAACGTATCTATCTCCAGTCAAATGAAGCTCATCGAGGCGGGAGCTGATAGGAGCGAATTTGGAGCTGAGTTTCACATTTGGAAAAGGAATTTATGAATGGACAAAATAGTGAAATAAAAACCCCGGGATCATGTGTCGTGGGTTAATATGAACATTTTAAGACCAAAATGATGACGCTCACAGCAGCAGATACAGAGAGAAGTACGACTACTTGTATATATGTCCATGTATATATACTGTATAGTCTACGGAACAAACAGAGAACGACACCAGGCCAAGTTACAGTTTAGATCTGAGGAGAGGCGAGTTCACTCACAAGAAGGAAGATAGGAAGTTTTTTAAGGTGATTTTGTTGTTGGATAAACACAAGTCATGCTGCGAAACATTCTAATCTAGGCAAAGCAATAACATGTCCAGTGGATGGCAGACACTCTATCAATAAATGTTACGCGGTGCACCTTTAATTAATAAATGTTATATTAGAAGATGTATGTTTTACCTGTTGCTCCTCTGTTTCTTTCTGTGTGTTTCTCTTCACAGACTTCTGCTCCTGTAGCTCCCTCTGCTGGGCCTAAAAGGAACAATCACATGACTTCATTAAACGTCTTATGTTACGCAAAATAGACGTGTGAGCTTTAAGTCGAGTTAGAATGTTACTATTGGGAGAGCTGGGATCAAGTCTTTGTTTGCAAGTCTAAGGTAAGTCTTTAAAATCAAGTCCAAGTCAAGTCCCAAGTCAAGTCCCAAGTCAAATACAGGCAAGTCCAAGTCCAGTCTTGAGTCACTGGCCCATAAGTATAGTCAAGTCCATGTTGTCAGCTTTGAGCTTTGAGTCTTTAAACCAAAGTAGATTTTTGCAATTTATATGAATTTTAAGCTCAATTGTACTTAAAAAGTCATGGTATATTTATATGTGAGTATTTATATAAGAGTTGTAGAAATGCTAATTTTTCCTTTTTAAATGTCTTAGTGTGAATGCGTAGAGTCAGAATAGAAAGAATGATATATGTAGTTCCCTCTGTTTTACTGTATTGTACTGTATTGTACTGTATTGTACTGTATTGTACTGTAGTACATTTGAGGATACCACATCGCAGTACTTTAGTTACAACCAAAGCAACAAACAGAGAAGTGGGACGCACATGTTCCAGTTTGTTACTGTAAAATTCAGCACCACATTTATCAACTGTAAAAAGAGAAAAGTATTTTCTAAAAACATATTTTTAGCAGAGCATCAAGTCTTCTCAAGTCACAGGCCTCAAGTTCAAGTCAAGCTCCAAGTCTTACTCAATTTTATCAAGTCAAGTCTCAAGTCCTAAAAATAGTGACTCAAGTCTGACTTGAGTCCAAGTCACGACGTGCAAGTCCCCCATCCTCAAAAACATAGCTGGAGTTGTGTTTTGTTTGAGAAAAATTTTATCATTATAGTTTATTTACATCTCCAAAGCTCAAAATGCTCTGTTTGTGATGAGGAGACAACATTATTAACAACACTGTTCCCTCATCATTGCCTCACTCAAAGCTGCATTTTGATTAATTCATACATTTTATATTGTCCTGCATTTGAGTCTTAAGTGCTCAGAAAATGTCACTTTTCACCAACCCCCTATCTCCACCCACTGCTTTGTTATTATTTCTAATTATGAAAAGAAATTCAGACTCTGGGTCATACATGTAGGGTTCAACAATGTTCTATTGTTCAATAATCAGGAAGTGCGTGTTGGCATGCTAGTTGCTGTTACCTTTACAGCCGCTCTGGTCTCTGACAGTTGAAAAAAGCTCTTATAAACTTATCATGGTGAGGAATTAGGACACTCTGAATGCAGAAGTGAATGCCCTCTACAGGTGGGTAGAGAGCTCATGCCTCAAGTGGAGGAGTTCAAGTATCTCGGGGTCTTGTTCACGAGTGAGGGGAGGAAGGAACGTGAGATTGACGGGCGGATCGGTGAAGCGTCAGCAGCGATGCAGTTGCTGTATCGGACCGTTGTGGTGAAGCGGGAGCTGAGTCGAAAGGCAAAGCTCTAGATTTACCGTCAATCTACATTCCTCCCCTCACCTCTGGTCATGAGCTATGGGTAATGACCGAAAGGACGAGACCGCTGATACAAGTGCTCAAAATGAGTTTCCTATGCAGGGTGGCTGGGCACTATCTTAGAGACACAGGAGGAGCTCAGAGTAGAGCCACTGCTCCTCCACGTCGAGAGGAGCAGCTGAATTGGTTTGGGCATCTGTTCCTGATGCCTCCTGGGCGCCTCCCTCAGGAGATGTTCCAGGCATGTCCCACAAGAAGGAGGCCCCGGGGAAGACCCAGGACACGCTGGAGGGACTATGTCTCTGAGCTGGCCTGGGAACGCCTCAGGATGGTGAGCTGGAGGAAGTGTCTGGGATGAAGGAAGTCTGGGAGTCCCTGCTTAGACTGCTGCCCCCGCAACCCGGCCCCAGATAAGTGGAAGAAAATGGATGGATGGATGGATGAATGCATAAGGTAAGTGAGGAAAACTGTGCTAAGTTTTCAAATCCATGTACTGTCCTTCATTACAGGTGTTTCTGTTGTTCAAAAATACAATAATTTCTGCTGTGAATGGGGGCGACTCTCCACAGATGTAAACTGTAACATAGTGTAGTGCTGTTACCTGCTTGTCTCCCTCATCATAGATTAAATAGGTTATACTGCAGAAGATTCTAGACAAAGCGATATTATTTCCACGGAGACAAGCAGGTGGCGGACGCTTCTTTTCACTTCAGTTGATTGTTGTTGTCAAGACAGTGAAAAGGTAGAGCGTCTTTACAGATCTGCATGTAAGATCGCTTCTCTGTCTCTCGTCTGTCTCCGGTTACAGGGCAGAGCCTCTATTTGCGTCTGTGAAATCGCGCTCGTGAACTTTGGCATCATTTCTACAAGTTCAAAATGAAACAGGAGATCTTGTTTTTTCATCAACTTTCACCATATGACTGGGTATTTATAGACATGATGTAGGGCATTGGTCAATATGTTTTTCAAGTATTGATATCTCAGTCAGATGGAAATATACCGTAATGATGTTTTTATTATTTTACTACAAGGAAGGACTGAGCAATCTGTGGCAGAAAACTAGTATCGAGTTTTTTTTGTTTTGTTTTTTTATTGTGGTATCAGCATTGGTCCTGAGCAGGGGTGGGATGAGACACAACTTTAACGAAATGAGACACACCCACACGCGTAGCATTCGGCGGTGCAGGCGGTGCGATGCACGGGGCCCACGGAACTTTGAGGGCCCATCGCAATCTAAGGACTGGCCCGTCTCCCTAAACTCCGTACAGACGGTGTCAGCGACCCCGATTTGCGCATTTCACTTCGGGCTGAAGGCACAAACTTTAGCGCCCAGACCAATGACATCACAGTCTCTGTTTATTTAGTGTAGTGTGATTGGACAACTGTCCTGTCACGTCACGTCAACCTGCTGCGTCAACTCGTAGCAGCTTCACGATTAGCGGCAGCTGCTACTTCAGCCTAAACCTCCACACAGGAAATGGCGAGAACAGAGTCAAAGAGCGACACACTGACAGACCCGCCGCCGGGACCCGGGACAGTCGCTACCGCTGCTGGGGCCGGGACAGTCGTCGCCGGGACTGGGGCAGTTGCCACCGGGCCGGGGCTCTCGCTGCCGCCGCCGGGGCCAGGGCAGTCGCTCGCTGCTCTACCCGCCTTTGCTCGCTCGTTTCTGGGTGTAAAAGTTTGACCTGAGCGTAGCGCGCAGAGGCACAATTCTACCTGGTGTCCTGGTGCTGATATGGACTGGTGTGACTGGATTTAAGTGGAAATTGGGATTAAGACTAATTTTACAACCGCTCATGCACTCGGCTCCTGGACCTCGCGTCACGGACCAGACTGGACCAGGATTTGGACCAGTTTCATCTCTTCATATTGGACAATAAACTTTTGGAGACAGAACCAGTGGGACAGTGGATAGAGGAAACATTCTGCTTCAGTCTCTGGAGAAGGTAAGAGGCTGGTTTTCATTAGTTTGCGGCAAATCTGAACATGGAGCCTCACAGGTAAATAGTGTTAAATAGTTTAAATAGTTTAAGTGTTAATAGTTAAATAGCGTTATAGTGTTAATAGTTAAATAGTGCGTAAATGAGCTGGTGGGTGCGATGGAGCTGCTCTGGTTGTTCTGTCGTGTTCATGTTGTGATCGTAGCCTCTTATTGTAGTTTTGCTGACGTTGTTGGGTCTGGGTGTGAGCGGCGTGTTACGTTGTGTTGTTGTGTAAAGTTTGCGCTTGGCTGTTCATTGTGCTCTGATCAATATTGTTCAGCCAATAGTAACCAAAATGTCTGGTATTTGTTATAAAACTATAGCCTATATATAATACATATATTATTCATAATATATATTTATAATTTTAGCCTTGGTGCCCCTCCCAAAAAAATTACCACCAGTCTCCACTGGTCCTGGTTTAGTCCCGGTCCCTCAAGTCTCAGGTCTCTAGGACAGGATTGGACGGCGCACCCTCGTGTACCACGCCCACTACAGCCCTGGTGCTGCCCGATGCGTGGCTATTTCCTGCCCGGTTGCTTCTTTCAGTGATGTTGTTCAGGGGTGTTTTTGACGAGAGGCTGTTGTTTAATGTTTACAACCAGTGGCCTTATTTTTTTTTAATAAACCTCAACCTGTATAGCGAAATTACAGCTTAAGCCTTAATGTAGAGTTAGAGTTAGATCCTATTGAAAGTGAATATATGTTTGTCGCACAGGGATGGGTCGAAATGGCGTAAACTGGAGGGAGGGGCCCAGCGCCAGACTTGCACCGGGGCCTTGCACAACTACGCTACGCTACTGGACACACCACAAGATTAGGTCCATGAGAATGAGATAAAACGAGATTTTGACATAATTTGTAATAAATAAGTGTGACAGGTAATAGTGTAATCCATTTCACAATTTTGGCTTCACTCTTTTAATTTATTTTATGTCATACTTAAGCTGTCACTGTGCTGCTGCTTTTAGAAACTACAGCTTCTCAAATTGTATCACTCACCAGCTCTTAACTCTTTTTTTGTCCAAGACAAAGGTAAATTCAGGGGAAAAATCTCACAAGACCATTTTTCTCATGTGTGCACGATCTTGTGGAAATTTTTTCTTGTGAGATCTTGAAATCAAGTTTGACATTTTAGTATTGTGACAACAAGATTGTACAAAAAAAACCTACAAACTACAAACTACAAACTCTAAGTTCAAATTAAAATATAAACCAATTATTGTTCAGTACTACTTCAGAACACTTGACCACAAGTTTTATGATGAGTTTAATATCTTCCTAATGGAGACATAAAAGTGACTTTTGGAGATTTTTACCATGTTATAATGTTGCTCCCTCATCACTGACTAGTGTTTTTTGACGGATTCATGCATTTTTGAGTAATTCCAAATTAGATTTTTCAAATGTCTCATTTAAATTATGTTTATAGAAATGGACTGCAGTGTCGTCCTAATTCACTGAAACAGAATGTGCTGGCCAGCTTCAAAAACAATGGAAATTTGACAATTGTAGAAAGGCAAAGTTTAAATGACATTCATTTTAAGAAGGAGCATCAAACAGAGCTGTATGGAAATCTAAATTTGAGCAGAAAACAGAGATGGCTCTGTGCCCAGCTGAGGACCGGCACTTTGTCCCTGGCAGTGGAGGTGGGTGGGTTCCTCCCTGAGCAGGAGGCTGCTCCCTGTGACAGTCATCAAACCCTGACGGATTTTGGTTGCCGGATTATAAAATGATGAGTTGGCTTAAAATGAAGTGTTTTTGTTTTAGTTCATTATATCGCTAGAACCTGGGACAGGAGACAACAAGTACTATATCCTGTATGACTAGAGTAGGTTTTTGTCAGAGCGGTTATTTGATGATTGATTGTGAATCTGTTTACAGAGTCTTGTGAGCCCAGGCTGGGCACAAATGTGTAAGACACTATAATAATAAAATAATAATAAAAATGTATCAATCAAACAGGGAACAATATTCTAACATGACTTGAAGCTCACAAGAGTCTTTTTAAACATTTAAATAATAAAATCCACTGACCCTGATCTGGTCTCGCTCCTTCTCCAGTCTCTCCCTCTCCGCTCGCTCGTCCTGCAGCCACTCCTCTTTCCGGCGCAGCTCGGCGTACAGATTCTCAAGTTTATTCTGATCAGCCTGAAACACAAATATAGAGCTTAATTTTACTCTTTTTTGTCCAGTTCAAATGTATCTCATGTGATAATTATTCTCATGTGCATGGTATTGTGGCAATTTGTCTCACGAGATCTTGTACCAACCAAAAGAATTATACTCAATTAAAAGCAGAATTACAGGTTTAAAATCTACTCAAAAAAGTACAATTGCTCCAAAAATCTACTTAATTACAGTAATGAGAGTAATTGTATTTGAGTAACCGAAATTTGTATTTGTCGACTAATCATTTAATTATAAGGATTTATATGAGACAACAGCAGAAAGGAAAAGTTACTGAGAGAGATAGCTGAAGATTTGGTATTTTTTATATTTATATGTATTCTTGTATATTTTGTATTCATCGTCCGCCGTTGCCCCTCCGTCTCATCCAGTCTTCATCATCTTCAGACTCGATTATTGTGATATCCTCCTCTACGGACTTCCCTTCACTGACCTGCAAAAACCACCACTCAGAAACTCACACTTAAACTCCAAAAAAAGCTTGGCCCAAATTTAAGATATAAACACTTAAATCTAAATCTAAAATCTAAATCTGAAAATGATCTGTCCATGCAGCAAGATCATTTTACTTGACAAGTTCTCCTAAAATAAACAACCTCTAGACTAGAATGAAGCTGTCTCTGGTCTAGTAAGTCGATAATAAATCTGAAAACAAGATGAATGACCTGATAAAAATTTTAGTCTTAGGCAGCGGTCAGAGAAATTTGCAGTGCACTGAACACCTGAAAAACTGATCAAAAATCACCTTTTCCTCACAGCCCACAGTACCCACACACAACTGCTCCTCATCACTGTTTTGTCTGTCCTGCCCTTGTTTAGAGTTACTTTATGGTGAAGTGTCATTGTGTTACCATGAAAAGTGCTATATAAAACCCATGGATTATGATTACGATTATGATTACGATTATTATTCTTATTATCATGTAAAAAGGCAGACTAAATTTATGATTTGTATTCTTTATATTATACTATTCTTTATATATATTTACTATATATACTAGTGTTGAAGTCAAGAGGGCACTAATTGAGACCAAGACCTGTTCGAGACCACAGGGTCCCGAGACCAGGACAAGACCAAGACCACTGAGAGTCGAGATCGAGACAAGACCAAGATTTTTAAAGGCCAAGACTGAGACAAGACCAAGACCAGGGCCCACTGAGACCAAATCAAGACCATCTTTGTCATTTTTGACATTTATTTGTATTTTACAGCTACTCTGGCAGATATATATAAATGTTTTTATAAAACTAGCTCCATTTTATCACTTGCTGAGTGTCAGACCTCGAGACTGAGACTAGATCAAGTCCAACTGCCTTCAAGACCAAGAGAAGACTGAGTCCAAATGTGGTCGAATCCTAGACAAGACCAAGACCACAAAAAAAAAAAGGTCTTGAGACCAAGACTAGTCTCCAGTACTGCGACACTAACATGCATTATTTCCTAGTACTTTTCTGCATAAATAGTAGTTTTTGCATGACCTTCCTGCAGGTGTAGTCTTGTGAGTGCAGTTTGAGTCAGATACATAGAGCTAAGTAACAGTTTTAAGAGCTTTTGTCACTCCCCCTTTTTAGTCGACTAAAGCGGCATGTGTTTAGTGGACCAGCTCTAGTTCCTCTCCAGCTTGTGTGTGTGACTGCATGTGCCTGCGCTCTGACCTCTGCAGTCTGTCTGTATCCCTCTCTCTCCAGGGCCCAGGCTGCTCGCTCCTCCCTCAGCTGGAGTTGGTCCTGGGACAGTTGTAGGCTGAGCTGCGCCCCCTGCAGGCGAGACTGCTGCAGCTCAGTGTGGAGCAGACTGTGGCGGGACGTCATCTCTCTCAGGTCTCTCCTCAGACCCTGGGCCTGGAGCTCGGACGAGTCCAGTCTGTCCTGGAGAGTACGCAGCTCCGCAGACAGAGAGTCGCGCTCCAGCTGGACACAGGAGAGGAGAGAGGGGAGAGGAGAAACAGAAGTTAAATAAGAAATGCTTTATTTGTCAGTACCAGTATCATTTGTTTGTGATGCTGTTGTGGCCAAACCGTACCACTATCAAAAGGACTCTGAATTGAGTTCTACACAGTGTAAATCTGGGATGACTCTCACTGAAAGCAATCGGGAAAAGGATATTTAAAGTTGCCCCGTGTAACTTTTTGGTTAGAGGTCAGTCACCCGCTTGTTTCTATGGATATGTCAAAGGGAAAAAAGCACAGACATACAGTATTTCCCATCCACAAATGCACAAAGAGCTTTTCTCTGCACATTTTTTAAAACTAAATTTAGGATATTTCTACTAAAATATTCAAAGTACAACCATCTGTGCCGTCATGTTGGTTTGGGTTTTCTTTGTTCCGCTCAAACCAGAATGCTGCTTTGTAAATGGTTTGAACCACTGGTGGCCCTGGCCTAGCCAGGCTGGTACTACCTAGTGCCTCCGCTCAATTTCATTTCTTTCCAGTGACTAGGTCAGGAATCAGAATACACTAGACGGTTTGCAAGAACCCCAGAAGTGTAAGTTTGGGCACCAGCCAATCAGCAAAGAGCCATACATTCAGTGTTGGCAACGATTCCCGAGATCGAGGATTTAAAGACAGAACAATGAGAATGTTGGTGAATTTTATCAAGGGGAAAGACGTTATTGTCCTTCTTCATACGGGATTTGGGAAAAGCTTAATATACCAGACGCATTACATACATCATGACCAAATAGCAGCGATTGGTTAAATAAAAAAAGTACCTGCCTACCGTCGAATGAATGAGTCCTAATACTGCGAGGTCAGACGGTTTCTAAGAAGTTGTAACACCCACACTGAGTGCAGGAGATTACCAATCAAAATATTATCTGGGTAACTGATTGTTCTTTAACACTCTTGTCCTTTAATTAGTCTTCTTGTAATAAATAAAATAAAACAAAGGCAAAGAAAAGGTTTCTTAAACTTGAAATTATATTAGGCCACCTAAATTTCTCATAGGCATTTCAAATACAAAGTTCGTCATCGCACCCCCTTTAAAGTTTTATTGTTTGCGCGCACGCCCCAGTCATAGTCTTTTATCTGTGGGATTTATTTAATCCAGAACCCTCCGCACCACATTCCGAATCCCACCGCAGACCCCTTAAAAATAGTCTGATAAATTCCAAATTAGCGATCAGTTATATGTACTCAGTATTCCAATATATAACAAAACATCAATCCAAAAACTTTCATTTTGTTTTCTTATGTACATTAACTTCTTAGATTCTTCACCGGCGACAGTTCTGAAGATCACTTACAGCTATCAGCCCAAATATGTCAACAATGTAAATTCACCTCCTACTGCATTGTCTTTAAAAAGAACCAAAGAAGTTCATGACGAAATACCAAATATCAAACTATCTGTATTAGCAAAAGTATATTGTCCATCCCTAATTCAAATATTAAAGATTGATAACAAGTAAAATGAAATTCCCTCACCTGCAGGGACTTCCTCTTCTCCTCCTCATGTTTCATCTGACTGCTCATTTTCTTCACTCTCTCCTTCAGTCTGTAAAAACAAATTTGAGTGGTTTATTTCATTTTTTTCATTTTTATTTTTTGTTTTGTGTAATCATTTGTACATGATCTAAACATTGGTCCTTTGTTTGTGTAGTGTCTGTGTGTACCTCTCCAGTTCTGCGTGGGCCTCTTTCTCTCTCTCCCTCAGCTCCTTCTCGTCCTCCTCCAGTTCTTTAATCCTCTGCAGACTCTCTACTTTCTCAGACAGAAGTTTGCTCAGTTCACTGCTCAGATTCTCCTGGTTGTACTTCACATTCTGCAAAATATTAAAATCATTGTTTATTTTTTACTTTATATTGACAAACCCTAACCCGAGACAAAGAGATATTGAAGGACGTTGTACCCGCAGACGGTCTCTATGTTCTAGTCCCAGACCCTCAATCACACAGAATGTAAAAAGGGCTACTAGTGTTGTAGTATTCCAGACTGGTCTTGAGACTGTTTTTTTAGGGTCTTGGTCTCGTCTCGGACTCGGGCGCCTTTGGGCTCGGTCTCATCTCGGTCTTGAAGGTGCTTGGACTTGGTCTTGTCTCGGTCTTGAAGGCGCTTGGACCTGGTCTTGTCTCGGTCTTGAAGGCGCTTGGGCTCGGTCTCGTCTCGGTCTTGAAGGCGCTTGGGCTCGGTCTCGTCTCGGTCTTGAAGGCTCTTGGGCTCGGTCTCGTCTCGGTCTTGAAGGCTCTTGGGCTCGGTCTCGTCTCGGTCTTGAAGGCTCTTGGACTTGGTCTTGTCTCGGACTCAAGGTCTGACACTCGACGCTGCTGTCGCCAGTAAACTTGTACCAGTGTGCATGGGTGCGTGGGACTTCTCACTGCAGCCTGTGTACTCATCTGAAGCCCACGGACAAAAAAAATAAAATCCTACCCACTTTATTCACTTTGAAGTAGTTTTATGTAAAGTGCCAGTAGAAGTTCTCTTAAAGAAGGGGTTCTCAAACTGTGGGTAAGGGTCCAAAAAAGGGGCACAGAGAGTTTACTTGGCTTATTTTAAGCTTAAATTAACATTTATCAGATAAAATGGAGATAGAGTTATAAAAACATTGATTATATATATATATATATATATATATATATATATATATATATATATATATATATATATATATATATATATATATATATATATATATATATATATATATATATATATATATAGTAATATATAAATAATGTATATGATATGTGGTCTTTAGCCTGATTCATCAGCCAGTTTCACTTTGTGGAAACCGTCTGACCTCACAGCATTAGGATTCGCTCGACGTAGGCAGGTACTTTAAATTTAACCAATTGCTACTGTTTGGTTGTGACGTATGTAATGCGCCGCTAACGGGGCTAACTGGTATATTAAACTTTTCCCAAATCCTGCAGGAAGAAGGACAATAACGTCTTTCCCCTTGATAAAATTCACCAAACATTCTCTTTGTTCTGGCTTTAAATCCTCGATCTCGGGAATAGTTGCCAACACAGAATATATGGCTCTTCGCTGATTAGCTGATGTATGGACTCGCACTTCAGTGTTCTTGCAAACCATCAAGTGTATTTGATTCCTGACCTAGTCGCTGGAGAGAAATGAAATTGAGCGGAGGCACTAGGTGGCACCAGCCTGGCTACATGGTCTTGGTCTCATTTCTGTCTCAACCTTTAAAAGTCTCAGTCTTGTCTCGATCTCAACACTCAGAGGTCTTGGCCTTATCTCGGTCTTAGGATCATGTGGTCTCAGACAGGTCTTGGACTCTATTAGTGCGATCTTGACTACAGCACTGGGGGCTAACTCACCATCATCTACCAACGTCATTTGTAAAACCCACTCATACAACTAAGCTAAAAATGAACTGAAAAAAAAAAGCCATCCTCGTGAGTGGGCTTGCCTCTCCACAAACGTTATAATCTTCATGGTTACTGTCATTCTTTCAGTTTCCACACCTGATGTTTTCCCTCCATCCTCGTCAGCATGTCTGTGTACTGGGTGATAGTTTGCTTGAGGTCAGACTTCTCTTTCTTCAGAGCGGCTCTCTCTTTCTCCCACTCTTGCTCACTCTGTCTGCTCTTTTCTCTCTCCTCCTCCACCTCCTTCCTCGACTGTTCCAGTGCCCTCTGCAGGCTGTCCACAGACTTCAGACTCTCCTCCAACCGACTCTGTAGGAACAACAAGAGAGGAAATTATTTGATGTCTTAAAGCAGCTTTTAACCACATTATAGTTGTTTCTCCATCTCATTTAGCCTCTCAAAGTTGTATTTAGTGTAATCTGTTTTGTAAAGGGTAGTCTTCTGAGGATTTCTTATACTCCTGCATTCAGCATGTCATAGGCTTTATTCACACTGACATCACAAACCAGGAAGACGTTTGGAAACGTGATTCCAGCAAGTTCTGCTTGCTGTAGTAAGTCTGACAAAATCTAGGAAAAGTGAGAAAAATGTCCCAGTTTTCTTCATCTCCATGTCATTGTAGTGTTCCGTTATGTTCGGCTAATCAACAATTCCAACCATACCTCAGTTTTCAGCATTTCCCCACTGATGCAGAACTGGATACGTGTGATTAGAAGAGATGAGACGCCAAATTCCAGATGATTCCAAACAGCACACATGTCTGCAGTTTTCATTTTACCACTGATCACATTTACTTCAGTGGGTTTGATCACAGTCAGTCGGTGAGCCCAGTGTCGGGAACTACACTGGAAGTTGTCATCGCATGTTTCCAAACATCTTCCTGGTTTGTGACGTAAGCGTGAATAGAGCTTATAGTTTGAGTCTATAGTCTTAACACTTCTTAACACAGCCGTGTCAGGTGATCAGGACTGAGACTAGACTGGGACTCAGACTGGGGCCAGTCTGGGACTGAGACTGAGACTGAGATTGGGAGTGAGAGCAGTATAGTCCTAGTAGACCTGGTTTAGACTTGGTTCAGTCCTGATTCAGTTCGGCATTGCAGTTTAAGTCACAGAAATGGGAAATGGCTGTTATCCGTTTTTTTCCATTATTCATTTAAACACAAAATCAAAGAACTGAAAAAATGAATCATTATCCATTTTTTCATTTTGGTTTTGGAGAAAAATAATGAAGAAAATTGTTGGGTTTTTTTCCTTTTCTTTCCTTTTTGGTCTTATTTTGAAAAACAAATGAACAAATGATAAACGGAGTATTGTTGATTAGCCGAACATAACAGAACACTACTATGACATGAAGATGAAGAAAACTGGGGCATTGTCAAATTTTTCAAAGATTTTGGCAAATTTACTACTGCTGGAGTTGTCATTGCATCTTTCCAAACATCTTCCAGGTTTGTGACGTAAGCATGAATAGAGTCTATAGACACACACGTTCACACCTGCAGTAGAGTGGCTCTGGGCACCACCACCATCAGCTCCTCCTCTTCCTCCTCTCCGTCTTTCTCGTCTCCTCTCTCCTCCTCGTCCCTCTCCTCTCTCACAGTCTCCAGCTCCTCCAGTGGTTTGGGGGAACAGAAGTTGAAGGTTCGACTCCGCCCACGCACCTGTCCGCTCTGATCCACGTACACGAACTCATACTCGGCTGGGCCCGGGCGAGGCAGGTAGAACGCTGAACAAGACAGTTTATCATGATCAATATTCAGAATTTATCAACACGGAACACGCTGGAAGAGAGATATACAAAGAGGGATATTATGTGGAATTGTTTTTTGGAGCTTTCTACTATGTTATAATGTTCCCTCATCAAAAACATGACTGAAGAGGTTTAAGACATCATCCGTGCATGTTTGAGTAATCTAGAGATCTTTCCCAGGCCCTATTCACACCCTCCTTATAGTTAATGTACATTGCTCTGCTTTATAAGCCGACATAACCCATGCTCCCACATGATAGTTCTCCATAAATACCGTATTTTTCGGACTATAAGTCACGCTTTTTTCATGGTTTGAGTGTTTCCTGCGACTACTGCGCATGTCTCCTGCAGAAAGAGCCTCTGTCCTGTCTGTATCATGTCAGTCGATCACACCGTTACTTCTGCATCACTGAACAATCTAACATTTAAACAAACTTATAAAGACGACTGAGAAGACTCCCAAAAAGAAAATCAGATTCTGCAGATTACAAACTGCAAGTCGTAAATCTGCAGCTGAAAACGATAATCGAGCAGCAGAAAGAAAGTTGTGACACCGAGAGGGTGCACCTGAAGTCACTGGATGGATGGACAAAGCCTGGACTTCAGTGACATCGAAACTATCCTGTCGGGATTCAGAAAAGCCCGAATAATTCTAACTGGAACTGATGCTGAGTCTGACGACAGTGACACAGAAGAGGAAGAGGCGCTCTGTTTACCTCCAGAGGTCGTGGAGTTGCTCAGAAGTGACACTGAGGATGAAGAATTGAATGGATTTAGTGATCTGGAGTGAGATGGAGAGTTTGGTAAACTTGTTCTGTTGTTTATGTTATAGTTTATCTGAAGAACTGTTCATATGTGACGATAACAGTCTGTTGTTCTCTCTTCTATTGTTATTACTACAACTTGACTTTCAACAGGAAATGTCAGTTCCTGGTTTCTGATTTTATAAAATTCCCCCCAAAAAGTGTGACTTATAGTCCGGTGCAACTTATATATGTTTTTTTCTTCTTCATTATGCATTTTTTGGCTGGTGCGACTTATACTCTAGAGCGACTTATAGCCCGAAAAATACGGTTTACAAAAATATGATACAAAACTGTACACAACTCAAAAAAACAGACGTGATGTGCAGTAGTTTCATTAGTGGGATGCACGCTGATTGTGTTGTGATCACGCTATGAAGGGTGAGAACACGCTATGAAGGGTGAGAACCTTAGCACTAAACTGAAAACTAAAGTGAAAACATGTTAATATATTGTTTTGGGTGAATATAGAATTTTCTAAACAATAAAAGGTAACATGGTGAGCTAAATATGTTATGTGTTAGCAATTAATACCCCACAGAAGTGTAATACTTCCTGTTTAAACAAAATACACTTTTTTCAAATTTCGGACCTTATCCAAATTTACACACCCGCGCACACTCTGAGGAAGCAGACATTTGTTTTGATACAGGTGGACCATGTGTGTTTCTGATTGGTTAATCCACCTGTCAATCACGCCCATCAGAACTCTGGGTGATTCACCAGTGATGCGACTCACATCTTTGTAAAGTAAAGCTAAATGTGTATTGTGGCAGGCAACAGTGACAGCAAAACTCTGCTCTGGTCTCCAAAAGTTGTGAAAAGCTCTTATAAACTCATCGTGGTGAATAATTAGAACAGTCTGAATGCAGAAGGTAAGTGAGGAAGAACTTTGGACTACTACAAACTGTTGAACTAGTTTTCCACGTTTTGAAAAGAGTAAAAATCAGGTATGATAGATTAACTATTTTAAATAAAAAGTGTTTTGTTTTTTCTGACCGTGGAAGAGGGCGCAGCAGTCCACAGGGGATCCTTCACTGTAGTTCTCCGGGACACTGACCCACGTGTATGTGTAATACTCCTTTATGGAAGTCCAGCCCACCTGAGACACACACACACAGTAGAGGAAATAATGCAACTTTTAATACAAACTGAACAACATTACAACAGGAACTTAAAGCTCAAAAGATTCATTTTGCATAATATAGGACCTTTATTGTGTAGTATTACATTTGTTGTGTATTGACCAGTTAAATTTAGGCTATTTTATGAGAAGATCTGATGACACCAGACTTTAACAAGAAGGTCTGGTCACATGTAGCAAAGCAAAAAAAAAAGTTTTCTTTACGACATAATTCTGTATGTCTTGCTTTATATATTAGATGTCTTCTGTATGTATCTAAAATGAAGAAAGTTGTAAAAAATGAACAAAAAAGCATCAAATTAGATGGTCTGTGAAAACTTTTGAATGGTATTGCACATTTTTAACCACGTAACTGTACTTTTACTTGAGTACACATTGTAAGCCCTCTCCTCCACCACTCTACTTTTATTTGAGTACAAATTGTTAGTACTCTCTCCACCACTGTACTTTTACTCCACTGTAGGCCTATTTTTACTTGAGTACAAACTGTTAATACTCTTTCCTCCACTGTACTTTTATTTGAGTACACATTGTAAGCCCTCTCCTCCACCACTCTACTTTTATTTAAGTACAAATTGTTAGTACTCTTTCCACCACTGTACTTTTACTTGAGTGCAAATCACAAGACCTCTTTCCTCCACTGTATTTTTACTTGAGTACACGTTGTCAGTCTGCTCTCCACCACAGTACCTTTACTCCACGGTACTTTTACTTGAGTAGAAATTGTCAGTCCTCTCTCCACCACTGTACTTTTACTTGAGTACAAACTGTTAATACTCTCTCCTCCACTGGACTTTTATTTGAGTACAAATTGTACATCCTCTCTCCACCGCTGTACTTTTACTCCACTGTACTTTTACTTCAGTACAAATTCTAAGTCCTCTCTCCACCACAGTACATTTACTTGAGTACAAATGATTAGTCCTCTCTCCACCACACTACTTTTAACACATTGTACTTTTACTTGAGTACAAATTGTCTAAAATGAACAAAGTACAAATTGTCAGCCCTCTCTCCACCACAGTACTTTTACTTGAGTACAAAGTGCCAGTCCTCTCTCCACCACAGTACTTTTACTTGAGTACATGTTGCCAGTCCAGCAGGGTGCCACATGTCTGTTGTCATTACCCTGAAGATGCCGATCCAGTCGCGGTTGCTCCAGCGGTGCTCGGGGGCCAGGCTCAGGTGGCACTCCACGCGGGTCTGGGGGAAGTAAAACTGGCCCACGTTCCGAAACTGGACCGCGGAGGGAGGTCCTGGTGCATCCATCGAAATCGGAAGCTGACTCAGAGAAAGAAAACAACATCAGGCCGGCTCTCGTGTCAGGGTGAGCGCGCGAGGCGGACAGCTGAAGAAACGCGATACTCCGGAATGCGGCGTGCGCAACTCAGCCTATGGACCCAATGTGTTTATTAACAACAAGGGCGCATGCATATAGAATCACTGTCTGCACCTTTAAGCCATTCAGAGTTCACTTATTTTAGTCAAAACTGGAACAAAGTACACCAAAGTTATCCTCAATTTTAAGTTGATGTTTATTAAAGCAGCATTATATAACGTTTCAACCAAAAATAACTCAAATGTTGCTTGTTTATTGTACTAAAAAAAATATACTTTTAGAAATAGTATAAGTGCTGCTTGAAACTCCACAGACCTGACTCTTATTTGACCTGAAAAAGGGCCTGCACCTGCTTGTTCCCAGGGAAATGTAGTTCCTTTTGGCGATAATTTTCAAAAAAAAGTACAAAAAGTAGAAAACGTATTAATGAATATTCTGAAGTATGCTTGTCTATTTCCTCCAAAAAGTGACACTCTGAACTGTTTTATATGCTGATTTTAAAGCAGAAAAAACAGTTCAGTGTGACACTTTCTTTAAGATGATTCATTTAAAATACATGTTACTTTAAACATAAAACATTTAACATAAACCAAACATATTTTTCACTGTAAATCCATTGATAATAATGAGAAGACATGACCTTGTTTGTTTAAAATAAATAAATAAATAATAAAACTACTACAGTATAACAACAAAAGGTAAAAAGACTTACTAAACAAGGCCAAAAAAGGAATAAAGCACCTTCTCTAAATGTGAAATTAAACTGATTATTTGAGTAAAATAATACACCATTCTCAAAAAATATGCTAATTAATTAAATGACATTCAGTTACAATTTTTCTTTCCTGACTTCACTTCTCAAATTCCATAAGCTTAACCGGGATAAACATGGGGATGGACTGAAGTGGGTTATTAATAATCAATAGCTTATTCTGAAAATGTAAAGTAACACATTAGATTCCAATGATGTCTCAAAACACAGATTTAGAGAAACGATACAATAAAAGGGAGCCATGCATTAAAAAGTAAAAGGATTAAAACGATCCAAATATAAAGTAGTACCTGTTTGGTTGTGATGATGACACTGCAGTCTGGACTCTTCTGAGAATGATTTGACCAACAGTCTGCAGCTCGAGTCAGGGGCAGATTTCACAACATCCACAGACACAGGGTAAAAATGGACCACAAAGTATCACGGGAACTGTAGTTTAGGAACTGTCACCACCAACCACCGGGCCATGTTTCACTTAGTGTCAAAACAAACACACTGATTTAAAGGTGCAAGATTGTTATAGTAGAGGTTCAGGCTGAGAGTCCATCACCTTGTCTCCATGGAGATATTATAGGTCTGCCTGGAAAGTTTCAGTATGGAATTAAATGTTATTTGCATTTATTCAATAACAAGTCAGGGTGTAACGATATCCAAATCTCTCTATACTATATTTTCACAATATACATCTCATGGTATGATATTTATTGTGATATTTTGTGGAGGCTAAACATCTTAAACTGTTAATATGCTACTTTTTCCTCTTAAAATGCCTTGACAAGACTTAATCCAAAGAACTAAGACTTAAAAGCGCTTAGAACTGTTATTTCTTCTTGTAGTTTGCACTGAAATGGAGCAAAGGATCATGGTCTGTGTAGTTCCCTCTGTGTTTTTTAGCTATTGCTGCATCATAACTCTTCATTTAGGTAAAGACACTTGTAATTCGATATATTGTGATGGTCCACGATATTATTGTTACATCCCTAATTACAAGTGTTTAAATTTCTCAAAAATACCTTGAAGCATGCATTCTTAAAGTAAACGGGCTCGCCTCTCCACAGATCTGACCTGTAACTTTGCCTAGTAGCACCTGCTTGTCTCCATGGATATCAATAAGTGTAATGCCCTACTGTGCAATATTTGTATCACAAGATCTCATAAGACAAAATCGCCACAGGATTGTGCACGCATAAGGACAATTATCTTGTAAGATTGTTTTTTCCCAGTGTTTACATTTGGATTGGACAAAAAGGGGTTAAGTGCTCTTGAGTCGCATCTTTTGGGAAGTCGTAGTTTCAAAACTCCATTCTACAATAATCAATGATGAAATGATGAATGATGAAAAAATATAAAATAAAGGAAATAAAAACTGTGAGTTGAAGTGTACAAATTATTCATTATGAATAATCCCAAAATCTCAATTTGTCTCGTTCTTGTGACTTCCTTCTGCTATAAAGCTTTTAAATGGAAAGTTAATTTGCTATTGTGTCCCTGATGCACTGAGGCTTGAATGTGCACCGTGTGTTGTATTTATTTCTTTTTCTTTTTATTTTATTATTTATAGATTGTGCATGACTAGAGATGTGCAAACTGAATTGCCATTTGGGATTAATAAAGATGTTGATTGATTGATTGAAATCTCGTGTCACGTCTTGTGGAAATTGTGTCTCATCTCATCCCTAGAGGCTGTGTATTTCATTAGCCAATATACCTTTAGAATTAGATATAAATTACACCATTACTTACAGGTCCAATTATGGCCGATTCACTTTTAAGTGGATTAAAAGATTTCAGGGAGCAAAAATGTTACAGTGTATCAAAAACAAGTCTGGAAACAACTGTGTTTAAATGTAAAAAGACATTTACTGAAAGTGTCATTCAGTATTCAAGTGTATAAGTGTAATATAAAACATTCACTTAAAAAGTTAATAAGAAATACAAAAAAAATTAAGATAAGACTGATGACCCATGTACTTTTTTACACAAACTAATCCAATAAAACAAATAGAACACTGTTTAAACCCTGAGAAGCATTTGTAGTAGTAGTTTTACACATGTCTTTGTTCTTGGACAGTGGTGCAGTCTTCCAAAGGATCAAATCCCAAAGGTTTAAAATCAAGTCCAGATCCACGTCCAACTCTCCACCACTGCTATTTTCCATCTTAAAGTGAAGGATTAATGGAGCAGTCCAAGAAACACAAATGTTCAAATATTGTCACATAAATCTTTTGTCACTTGTAGATTTACTCACCATGGGAAGAAGAACCAAAACTTTAACTCAAGTAAGAGTACTGTTATTTCAATTAAAATGCTTACTCAAGTAGAGTAGAAAGTTTGCTGCTAGAAAAGTACAATTTCTTTAAAAAATTACTCTAGTAAATGTAATAAAGTACTACGCATTTCCAGTTAAAAGTGAAATAACTCCCAGTTCTTCCAGTTTTTTGCGGGCCACTTCCTCCCAGCCCCTGTTGGCCGCTGGGTTCCTGGGGGAGGGGTGCATGATCCCCTCCACCCTCACGTTCAGTCCAGCCGCGGTCAGAGCTTTCCTGGCCCTCTGCTCTGCCACCCGCCCCACACCGATCACCATGGAAACGCCCAAAACCCGCACCACCTCACACAGCGCGATATCACACTTGGCCAGCAGGGCGTCGCGTTCCCCCGGCTTCAGCTCAGGAGGGGTTAGGTTCTTACCACTGGAGGACATGAACATCAGCGGGCAAAGGTTGTGGACGAAGCAGTGTCCTGAAGAAGAGAGAGGGGTCCGGGCAGAGTTTTCGGAAATAGCCCCAGAATCTCGCCCCGCTCACTTCACTCTGGGTGCAGGACAGACCCATGATGCGGCGTTTTGGGTGCTCCTCAGTCGGGTGGCCCACCTCTCCAGAGATCTTCAGCCACTCCACTACAGACTTCACCTCACCAAATGGGACCTGGAATCATGAGACAGACAAACACGTTTCATTTCAGATAGAGCTGCTAAACTGGACAGGACCTGGAGGACTAAAGGGGAGAGTGAAACAAGGTCTGGGTCAACAGGGGGGCCTCAGTTAAAGTAATGTGCACCCTCATTTTAAGTGTGTAAAATAATGTCTCTTAATGTAAAAGTACTGTCTTTGCACCCCTTTAATAGTCAGAAATACTCAGTCAGTTTGGTCTGTGCCTGGGCCTAAGTGAGAGTGGAGGAGGCTGTAATCAGGGCAGTCTTTCATGATGTCACCAATTACTTGAAACTGCGGTGGCCACTGGAGGCAGCACAAACTTAGATTTAGCTGCAAATTTACTGACACACCTATGCACAAAAATTGTCCAAAATTACTTGGAACAATAGATAGATGCTATTTAGGGCTGTCGCGATCACCGCAGTCCACCGTGGTGGATGTTGGGCCACTGCGATCACCACACGTGCCCCGATCCAGAGTCCTGCATGGGTCCATTTTAGAGACCCGAACCCGCCCGGACCCGTTAAGATTCCACCCATTACCGCCCATGCTCGTGATAACCCAGGACTAACCCAGGACTAACCCAGGACTAACCCAGGACTAACCCCGGACTAAGGTGCGCCCGTGTAGACCGTCGGGTGACCGCAGGCGAAAGGACCAGTGCAGAGCTCCGTGCCACACGGAGGTAAGTGCAGTCATCGCCTGATTGCACTTTGCAGAGAGTTTTCAGTGTTGCTGGAAATATCGTAACTCCTTAACCATTATAGCCCTAATGCTATTAAAACACCATATACACACTTTAGAGTGAAAAAAGTGAATTAATTGTTTATGTTCACTATTTTAAATCCATTTTGGATTGATGATACTGGTCTAAGACACTAGGATTTATAATGTACTCAGCTGTAAAGGTGCACATTGCAACATTTCTGGTTGTGGTTCCACCACCTGCTTGTGTTTATGGAAATGTTTTTTGCTTTGCCTGGAGTCTCTGTCTATTAAACTGTGAGCGGTGTCACCTCATATGTAAGTTGGCCTAATAGTAGTAGCAGTAGCAGTAGTAGTAGTAGTAGTGCTACCTGCTTGTCTTTTTACACTGTGGAACATACTGGGCCTCTCCATGGAGACAAGCAGCTGGAGAACCCTCCACCAGAGCAGTTACATGGTGCACCTTTCACTTACAGTGTGTTCCTATTAAATGTAGCCTATTAGTGGCACAGATTTTGCAGAAGAAACGTTTTGCCACTTAGGCCCACTGGTGCTCTATAATGCACCTGTTAAAACAGCAGCCTAATAGTACAGCACAGTTATCTAGTAAACGTCCTGTATTACACAAAACTGACTCTTATGAGATTTAAGTCATGTTACAATGTTGTCACATCATCAAAAAAATATCAGTCCTCAGTAGAGCCTCTGCTCCTCCACGTCGAGAGGAACCAGTTGAGGAGGCTCGGGCATCTGTTTTAGATGCCTCCTTGACGCATGTCCCACCAGGAGGAGGCCCCAGGGAAGACCCAGGACACGCTGGAGGGACTATGTCTCTGGACTGGCGTGGGAACACCTCGGGGTCCCCCCGGAGGAGCTGGAGGAAGTGTCCGGGGTGTAGGACGTTTGGGAGTCCCTGCTTAGACTGCTGCCCTCTTGACCTGGCCCCGAATAAGTGGAAGAAAATGGATGGATGGAAGGATGGATGTATTCATTTCATGCTTGTTAAGGTTGGTCCTGGTTTGAGCCTGACTTTGGTCCAGGTCTACTCCTAGGTTGTATTTCCCATTGACTGGTGTTGCCTAAACAGCCAGTCTCTCTTACATTCTATTTAGAACAAAGTTTAGTCACAATTGAATCCAAAATTTGATGTAGAGTACAGTTTGCAAGTATGCATGCCCCCGTAATGACTTTAGTTATAATGATCACTCTAGTACAGTATATTGTCCAGACACTCACCCCGGTCTGCGCCATACCGAAGGGTCCTGGATTCATGCCCAGGAACAGCACGCTCTGCCCGGCTCTGCAGTAGGTCTCCACGAAGCAGCTGTGCGGGCTCCAGGCGTACTCCAGCGGGTTGTAGATGAACCGGACCGGCTCAGTGAACGTCAGACCGCGGAGGTGGAGGTTCAGTTCGAGCTCGGCCTGCAGAAAGCGAGCAGACACAGACGCGTCTCCGCCCGGCTCCAGCGCTGGTAACGCATGTGGACGCGCGTACAACGGCGCTTTCTGCTCTTCTTGCTCCGATAAAAGAGAGCTGTGCTGAGGTAGATCTCCATTTAACATATTTATCAATGAATAAACTATGATTTAAATAGAAACTAAGCTTAATTTTGGTTTTGTGGTTAATTCCTAATTATTATTAATAACATGGTCTTTTCTGTCTGTGAGAGATGTAAACAATGGCTCTCTTGCTCTCACTGTTTCCTGTACAGTTTAATTTTACTAGTTTAAAAATGCTGCCACCTACTGACAGAAAGAAGAATACATCTGGGGCTGTATTTTTGCACAATTTAACATTAATTCTTAAAATTTTAAACATTTTGACTCCAGGCTCAAAACGGTTCTGTTTATATGTGCATATGACTGAAAGGTTTTCATTCTCTCTCATTTAATGCCTCATTTTTATTCTATTTTATGGTGATTAATTATGTTTTGGTTAGTTTGTATTGTGATTATAATGTATTTCTTATTTTGTAAAGCACTTTGAATTACTTTTTGTATGAATTGTGCCGTACAAATAAACCTGCCTTGTCTTAAACAATGTATCTAAAATAGTAAGGGTAATAAGTGAGGAGCAAACGTATTAAGACTAAATATTTCTATTATTGTACACACATTTTAATACAATGTTTGTATGAAGACTGAAGTAGATACACCAAATAAAACTTTCTCTCAAATAATTTAACAGTAATAAGCTTGTCGAGTTCACTGAATGATTAATTCATGTGAAAAATACTGAAAAATATGCATTATTAAAGTGAGCGGGCTTGCCTCTCCAGGGATTCAACCACTAACTTGGCCTAGTAGCATCACCTGCTTGTCTCCATGGATATTGATATATTTAATGCCCTACTGTGGAAAATTTGTGCCACAAAATCTCATGAGACATGAGAAAACTGCCACAGGATTGTGCACGTATAAGGACTTATCTTGTAAGATTGTTTTTTCCCAGTGTTTACATTTCAATTGGATAAAAAAAAGGGGGTTAAGTGCTGTTGAGCTGCACCTTTTCAGAAGCGGTAGGACCAAAATCCAATTCTACAATGATAGTAAAAATGTAAAATAAAGAAAATAAAAATAGTGAGATCCAAATCTCATTTTGTCTAGTTTTGTGAACCAAATCTCAAGTCTCATCTTGTGGAAATTGTGTCTCATCCCATCCCTAGAGGCTGTGTATTTCATTGGCCAATATACCTTTAGAATTAAATATAAATTATACCACTACTTGCAGGTCCAATTATGGTCCACTCACTTTGGGTGGATTGAATGATTTTTGGGAGCAAAAATGTTGCAGTGTATCAAAAACAAGTCTGGAAACAATGTGTTTAAATGTAAAAAGACATTTACTGAAAGTGTCATTCAATACTCAAGTGTATAAAACATACACTTAAAAATCTAATAAGAAATACAAAAACAAATTAAGATAAAATTCATGTAATTTTTTACACAAACTAAACCAATCTAAAAAACAGAACATTGTTTAAATCCTGAGAAGCATTTGTACATAATTATTTTGTACATTTCTTGTTCTTTGATTGTGGTGCAGTGTTCAAATATTGCAAACATAAATCTTTTGTCACTAGTACTCTTACTTACAGTGGAAAGGGGAACCAAAACTTTAACTCAAGTAAGAGTATTGTTACTTCATCAAATGATTACTCAAGTAGGAGTAAAAGTTTGCTGCTAGAAAAAGTACAATTTCTTTAAAAAGTTACTTTAGTAAATGTAACAAAGTACTACGCATTTCCAGTTAATAGTGAAATAACTCCCAGTTCTTCCAGTTTTTTGCGGGCCACTTCCTCCCAGCCTTTATTGGCCGCTGGGTTCCTGGGGGAGGGGTGCATGATCCCCTCCACCCTCACCTTCAGTCCGGCCGCGGTCAGAGCTTTCCTGGCCCTCTGCTCCGCCACCCGCCCCACACCGATCACCATGGAAACACCCAAAACCCGCACCACCTCACACAGCGCAATATCACACTTGGCCAGCAGGGCGTCGCGTTCCTCCTTCTTCAGCTCAGGAGGGGTTAAGTTCTTACCACTGGAGGACATGAACATCAGCGGGCAAAGGTTGTGGACGAAGCAGTGCCTGAAGAAGAGAGACGGGTCTGGGCAGAGTTTTCGGAAATAGCCCCAGAATCTCGCCCCGCTCGGTTCGCTCCGGGTGCAGGACAGACCCGTGATGGGGCGTTTTGGGTGCACCCTGTCCGGTTGGTTCACCGTTCCAGAGATCTTCAACCACTCCACCACAGACTTCACCTCACCAAACGGGACCTGGAATCATGAGACAGAGAATGATTTTTCAAGTGGGACTAAACACTCTGCCCACAACCACATTTCAGATGAAGTGAGAGGGCGAAGGTCCCGGCGGTGAGTCTGTGTCTGCTGCTCTGGGTCTGATGAGCGATGTCTCTCCTCATGCTCTCCTGTGTGGAGGTTTAGGCGAAAGTAATGAGCCGCCACGAGCCAGTGTGTGAATCAAAATAAGAGCCATAGGATATCACAGCAACCAGTGCACTCATTCCAGCTTAATCTTTTCTTGCTTGGCAGAAGAAGAAAGAAGAAGAAAAGGCATATTATTTCCTAAAAACTGTTCCTCAGATACACTTTGACTTGAAGTTGAACTCGTCATAGCTGTACAGCACACAGCTCTGTTGTTGTCCATTCACTAGCCTGTAGCAGGAGTCAGTGGAGAGTTGGAGCTGGGCGAGATGGAGCGAGCAGTTGAATCACAATAGGTCAGGCGTGTGATAAACGTTTATGAAGACCAATCACTTGATTTGAGGTTGCCCCAAGCTACACCCCCAAGACGTACTTCAGGGCTGTAATGTAAAGTAATGCACAGAAGCAATGTAATGATGTAACATTTTCTCAAAACTAAAGTAAAATCAAGTGATATGAGCAAATTTAACATGTTGTCTGTGCAGATACACATTCAATTTTAAACTAAATATGAAACATATAGCCTAATACAAAATAACGGCTTTATAATTTTATTTTATTTTTTCTAGGTCAAGTTAGGGAGTGCAGCCCACCACTGGTAGTAGTGCTACCTGGTTGTCTTTATGTGGAGACATTCTAGGCCTCTCCATGGAGACAAGCAGCTGGCGGGCCCTCCCCCAGAAAAGTTATATAGTGCATCTTTATGTTGTGTTCCTATTAATGTTGGCCTTAGTGGCACAGATTTAAGAAACATTTAGTGCTCCATAATGCACCTGCTAAAGCAACAGCCTAACAGTACAGCACAGTTATCTATTAAATGTCCTACACAAAAGTGACTCTTATGAGATTTAAGCCATGTTGTTACATCATCAAAAAACTACTTGTGTTTCTTTTCATTCACACATGTTTGAGCAATCCTTTATTATTAGTCTGTTTACATCGATCAGTTTATTCTAATGAAGGTGTATGGAGTTTAAAAACACAGTGGAGCACTTCCTGTATTATCACATGACATCACAAGGTGGAGGAGAGTGTTTTCTATTTGAGAGAAGAACAGGTTTAACAGGTGTGGCTGAAACAAAACACAACTCCAAGATGAGGGAACATTTTAACAAAAAAGTATGTAATATAAGCCCTTTAATGCCTGTCTCTAAATCTATTTAACAGTTTTACTCAGGTCTTGGGTTGTATTTGACTAAATAGAATGTAGGGGAGACTTGCTGGTTATGTTGACTAACCTAGGATAATTATAACAAAAGTCATTATGGGTGCATGCATACTGGCAAACTGCACTCTACAAACAGTTTTGGATTCAACTGAGACTAAACCTGGTTCTATTATCCTAGTATAGTATAGTACTAGTATATTGTCCAGACACTCACCCCGGTCTGTGCCATACCAAAGGGTCCTGGATTCATGCCCAGAAACAGCACGCTCTGCCCGGGTATGCAGTAGGTCTTCACAAAGCGGCTGTGCGGGCTCCAGGCGTACTCCAGCGGGTTGTAGATGAACTCAACCGGCTCTGTGAACGTCAGATCACGGAGTTGATGGTTCAGTTCCTGCTCCACCTGCAGAAAGCGGACAGAGATACGTCTGGGTCTACCCATTTCTGAAAAATTCGTATAAATCCAATCAGTAGTCTTTTGCGTAATGCTGCTAAAAACCACTCAGGGTTGTTACTGGTAAAGTAGGCGGGGCAAATGTGGAGTTCCGCTCACCTTGAGCCACTCCCCCATCTGCGAGCTGGGCTGCAGCCAGGGGTTACTCAGAGCCATGCTCCGAGTACTCATTGCCTCCTGTTTGATTTTACTTGTTTAAAAATGCTGCCACCTACTGACAAACTGGACTCATACAGGCTATAGAAAAAAAAAAAAAGAGTACACCTGTTGTATTTTTGCATAATTTTATATTTAACAATAATCCTTACAATTTTAAACAATGTATTTAAAATAGTAAGGATTATAAGTAAGGCGCAAACTTGTTAAGACTAAATATTCCTGTTATTGTACACACATTTTAATACAATGTTTATAGGAGAAATGAAGTAGATATACCAAATTAAACTTCCTCTCAAATAATTTAACAGTAATTAGCTTGTCCAGTTCACTGAATGATTCATTAATGCAACAGTACGTATGGAATTTTCTAAAGGGGCCACATCACCTGAAGGATTCCAAGGTTAAAACCAAACTTCAATGGAGATGGATCCGTTTTATGCCATAATGTGAAATATTATAGCTAAAGGAATAACATTTCCTTGACAACAAGAAGGCGGAAAGCTTTTGCAAATCCAAATTTAGAGTCAGTTTTGTGGAGATGCCAGCCCACTCACAGCAAGGATACAGTAAGGAAGTTTCAGTGCCAAGGAATATCCATAATGCTCTTATTTTGGGAACATTAAGTGAATTAAATCTTCTTTGTAAAAGAAATGGGTAAAGCACAAAATATCTCTGTTATAAATGCTATGAGTTTGTATCAGCACATTTAAATATGAATTGGTGCTTTATTTTAACACAGTCTGACCATGAAGACCTGACTTGGCTGGAACTACAACAGGTGAGCCGTACAACAATTTTTCATTAAGTCATTTTCACCTTTTTGTTGAAAATCAAACACCAAACAGGATCATAAACACTCGTATTGATCACAAGCTCCTGAAAATGAACTCTTCAAATCCGCTTTGTATTTTTTCTTGAGTTTTCAGACAATCTAAAATCTTATCAGGTAAAGTTTGCTTGTCTCACTATGGTAATTGCTGAAGATTCTGCTATAGACATCAATGTAGAACCAACTTGTGTCACTGCAAAGTCAATAGCACATTCAAATTTGAATAGGCGACAGTAATTATTTTCACTTATAAAAAATACAAGAGCACAACGTTGTCCTTTACAAATGATTTTATTCATGATAATAGTAAGAAGCCTCTCCTCTGATTTTCAAACAGATTAAACTATTGGATCACGAGGTACATAAAAGAATTGTTAGCCCGTTTTACAATGATTTTAGGAAGTTATTTTTACGCTTTTTTCCCTACACAAAATAAAGATTATACCGAGATCCTTCCATTTAAACAAGGACCGTAACTCTGCATGCAAGACTAATAAAAAAACAACTAATTTTGTGATGGCTACGGTTTAAGTTTGTCTAATACCAATATAAGTTACTACAATTAACAGGGACTTGGTAAAAAATAAGGTTAATTTCACGGGGTTGTCAATTTATCCAATGTATTTTGTTCATTTAGGAGGAATCGGCTTTGACTAAACAGTGGTTCTCAACAGGTGGGTCCCTCAAAAGTTGATACCGTTGATTGATATTGTCTAAAGGTGCACTGTGTAACTTTTCCGGTGGAGGGTTGGCCACCTGCTGGTCTCCGTAGCAATGTTATTGCTTGCTTAACCCTGGAATGGTTTGACTTTAGTGTGATTGTGAAAAATGTAAAACTATAAAGTGAACGGGATCGCCTCTTCACAGATCGTAACTGTAAACTCAAGAGCGTTGAAGTCGGCTGCTTGTCTCCACGGCGATAGAGACGTTAGAGACAAGCAGCTAGTGGAAGTGGGTGCTCTACCAGAAAAGTTCCACAGCACGGTATTAAATTTGAAAACACATGTGCCATCGAAATGATAAAAAAAACAAAAAACAAAACTACGATACATGTGGGCACCGCGATTGAGAACCACCATCCTAAAAACTAAAATCTAATAAATGAAATAAACGTTTATATTGTATTTTTTTTTCTTTTACCTCCAGTGTTCACAATTTCATCAGAATAAAAAAAGGTCCTTAAAACAATCATTCAAAATACAATGAGAAATTTTCAAAACAAAAATTTTTTAACCTTCAAAACTAACTCTTATAAACAAGGATCTATTGCAACAGGTTGGATAATACGAAATGTGACAGAAGTGTGGACAGGTGCGGTGGACTACGTGTAAGACTATTGTCCGTTGGTTATGTGCTTGTGCCAGTACCCTCCCTGGATTCACAATGCGTTAGGTTTTCTCGATCCAAAATCTTAAAGGGCCGGTACCTAAGACGTCCCGTTTCATTAAAAATACAACATTAAAAAGTCGTTTCAGTCTGTAGAAACATTAGGGATGGTACGAGACATTTACAATTTCCATGAGACGAGATTGGGTCCACGAGAACGGGACGAGACGAGATTTGAACTTTGTTCCAAATGTATAAATTTCACAGTTCAGTTTCCACAATTTTGTTATTTATTTCATTTTTGTTTTGCTCAGTTCTAGTCCTGCTTTTTGGAACCGTAAGAGACTCGCCAACATGTGACCCTTTTTTGTCCAATCGAAATGTAAAACCGTGATCATTTTTCTCTTGTGTGCACGATCTTGTGCAAAAATATCGAAATATATCATTCCATGTGATGATACCGTATCGATATCGTGGGTTTGGTATATTTTACTAAATTATTTTGTTACAGCTACAGTTTTATTGCTTGTTTAGAGGAAGGAAACTTTTTTATGTGACACATTTGACATTTTCACAGTTTTGATTATTAAAATATTTGTATTTCTTATAAACTTTGCACAAGAAGTGATGTAACAAAGACTTTTAGTATTACAGCCACGATTTCACCTTTATTTTTCATTGAACTGAAGCGAATCGATTTGAAAAATATTGTATCGAACTGAAAGATATGTATCGTATCGTGGCCTATGTATGGAGGTATCATATCGGCAACTTCTTAATGTTTCCCAGGCCTAATCTTGCGGCAAATTTGTCTCACGGGATCTTGTACCATCCCTACAAACATGTTTTGAAATTTGATTCTTGTATTTGTTTGCCAGTCCATACTTCAGTATTTCTGTCCATTCTTTAAAGTACTATATGAACTTTGAACAGAATCCTATTAACAAAACATAACTGGAAATCACAACTGGATCTTTTCCCAAATTGTTCAACCGCACCAACTCTATACAGTACTTTGTAAAAGCAGCTATTTGTAAAAAGAAAATGACAAATTAATATCACCTATACTGTACATTAGAAAAGTAATTTTGTCAGATAAGAACCATAGCTGCATGCTTTCCTAGACTGTTGCTTCTCGTCATGTTTCAATTTAAGATAAAAAAAAATAAAAAATTGACAAAGCGGGCGGAGCTAACAGTTCATTCATGGTTTTTCAGTCAAAATATCAGGTACAGGCCCTTTAACAAGAAAATCAGTTTGTGCGGTTACTATAGCGTAGGAGCAAAAACGGACCGTATACTCTCACTGGCCACTCTTCAACGGACAGACAGGTTTCAAATGGACTCATCTGGAAGTTCTGATTGCTTTCCAAAATAGAGATGGTTTATTATTATCGGCGATATCGGAGGATTTCCCAAGAAAAGTGAATTTGTAAACGTTACTATAACTCAGCGTACATTTGGTCCTCAAGAGATTTTTTAAACCTTAACATTGGTCTCGGCAAATATCGGATATCATCTTTAAAAATCCATATTGGAACATCCCTAATCCAGTTAATCCAGTAGGTAATTTTCAATCTAAAAGTACCGGTCTGAGGTTACACCGACACACGCAAAGTACATCTGTTTAAAGTACAAATAGTTTATAGTGGCTTAATCCTGCAGCTACTTACTCCTGACCAAGCCTCAAGATTGGTTTCCTTTCAGGATTTCATCGTATTTAATCTAGTAATTACAGATATATTAACTTTAAAGAGGAGGAATTATGCAAAATCTACTTCTTGGAGCTTTCTGCCATATTATCATGTGGTTCAGGCACCAAAAACAAGCGTGAAGTGGTTTTATGTTTGGTTAATGTTGTGATCTCTCTATAAACCCTTAAACTGTCCTTACGGGAGTTTGAATATGGTAAATAAAAAAATAAAATAAATCTATATGCGATGTCTTAGCGATTAAACCAGGTCAAAACATCTGCAATTTTGACAATTCATTTAAATCTACCCTACACTTCAGTCCCAGATTATAGTTCCTTTGAAAATGTTACGACAACGCACCAAGGGAACCCATCGTCACGTTGATTCCTGATCGTTAGAACAGCAAATGTCCAATATTCATCGCTATAAAGCAAGTTAAATGGCCAGTGACTGTATATAATAACCATGGTTCGCTTAAGCTCCTATGTAGTTTCAGTCTGTTTAGTCAAATCGGGAAAAATCTGGCATACGGAAAGGATCAGTACGTTCAATAGTAAATCTTTGTTACAATATCATTAAGTTCTACCTTCGCTTCTGAGTACAGTATTCACTCTCACTTAAGGCCGAACCAATAGAAATGAATAGACACGTTATATACAGCAATCACGTCGTAGTATTTGGATAGAAAAGTTGTAGTCGACTCAAAAAAAAAAGGTTATTTGTGCCTTGGCCTATGACTCGGTGGACAAAGCATAGCAGAGGGAAGCATTAATTGCCTAGAGTTCCTAAATATTACATACTGTTCAATATACAACCGTCGAGCAAAACATTACGACCATCGGCTTATAATTCAGTCACTGTGTGCTCAGACAGGTGCTGAACTGGGACTTAATCAGGTCTGAAACAGGACTAAACCAGGCCTGACGCAACTCTGATTGATAATGAGCATTGCAAGATCAGAAACGCCCAAAATAGCAGTACTAAACTAGGACTAAACCTGATCTAACCCAAGACTAAACAAGGTCTAAACCAAGTCTAATCCAGGACTAAACCAGGTCTAAGCCGTGTCTAACTCAAGACTAAACCAGGTCTAACTCGGGTCTAAACCAGGACTAAACCAAGACTAAACAAGGTCTAATCCAGGTCTAACTCAGGGATAAACCACGTCTAACTCAAGACTAAACCAGGTCTAACCCAGGTTTAACCCAAGACTAAACCATGTCTAACCCAAGACTAAGGTTTAAACCAGGACTAAATCACATCAAACTAAATAAGGTCTAACCCAGATCTAAACCAGGACTAAACCATGTCTAACCCAAGACTAAACCAGGTCTAACACAGGACTAAACCAGAACTAAACTAGGTCTAACCCAGATCTAAACAATGTCTAACCCATGTCTAACACAAGACTAAACCAGATCTAACCCAGGCTTAAACATGAGTAAACCAGGTCTAACCAAGGACTAAACCAGTTATAACCCAGGACTAAACATGGTCTATACCAGGACTAAACCAGGTCTTAAGCACCTTAAACAGATACTGACCATTGCAAACCTGGACCACCTCACAAGAGCCGTACCAAACCAGGACAACCAAACGACTAAGACAGGTCTAATCCAGGATTTAACCAAACCTAAAGCCCCTAGGATAGAAATTTACAGGAGACTTACAGGAGCTACGTTTTAACCAGGACTAAGCCGGGTCTAAACCAGGACCAAACCAAGATGAACCCAGGTCTAACCCAAGACTCTAACGCACCTCTGATACTGACAACTGCAGACTCAAATCCCAATCTTGTTTCTCTTTGTTGAACAACTTTGCTGACAAAATCTTCACTTTCTGTCAGTGGTCGTAATGTTTTGCCCGATCGGTTTGTATACAGTAAAAATACTCATCAAAAGACAACAGCTAGACAAGGAAGTTACCAACACCGGGTAACCGAGACAGTTATATAAAAACAAAATGCTGCTTTGCCGTCTTCTTCCGATCCACGATTCGCAACAGTTGAGAAAAAGGCAAAATGAAAACCAACAACACTAAGGCCACAAGATTTTGAGTAACCCCACTGAACTCACAATGTTTTGTACAGTAGACGTGGTAGCACTAGCCTAGAGCCAAGACCAGGACTAAAAACCACTCAAGATTTTGGTCTCTTGAATGAGTAAGGAAGGACTGGTCCATGGCCTCTCAATGAAGACGCGCTATTTCCTGATGCAGCAGCGAGTCACGTGACCAGAACCAGACCAGCCAATGGGAGTCCGGGAGTCCAGAATCATCATAACAGGATGACATCGCTCACTTTTGGAGGCCCGGCAGTTTACATTTCGAAGCACTGGTGGTTAGTTTTTTTTATGTACAAGATTTCTGCGTTCATTTGAACCATCTGGGCAACGCCATTACGAAAGTGTTATAATGACAACTCTTATTTACACTGCTGAAACTGCAACTGAAGATACACTTCGAACAGTTCTGAATACAGTTTCAACGTTCACTTAAGTAATGGTTGTTTACAGTTCAAATCTACCTTCCCGAAATGGTTCAAATACTTTCAACGTGACCAAACTGTGCAGAGACGTCCTTCCTCTTCACTAGTACCACCAGGAAAAGATTTCAATTCACAATAATAAAAAGATTTCCGCAAAGAAAATATAGATTACAAAACAGGAACACTTTTGTATACAGTTTGTAAAAATTTGGGGTGAAAAAAAACTGTAAAAAATAAACAAAAATCAAAGTTTGTCAGTATTCTCTTCTCTCTTGGAGCTGCTCAGGTTTTGTCTATGGCGCGTGCCCCTGCCTCAGCGATGAGGAAACCCTGTGGCCTGTCCCACGTGGATCCAAGATGGCGGCGGGGCTATGTGTCAGACAGCCAGGCGCCCTGGAGGGGGGTGAAGGGGGCTCCACGTTGGGGGCGCGGGAGGGGGGTCCTGGGGGTACGGCCGAGGCTCGCAGCACTGAGGCGTCTCCACTTTGGGCACGCTCCGGCCCTGACACAGACGCCGGTGACGCAACAGTCTGTCCGTCCGTGAGAAGTTCTGAGGACAAACAACAACAGGCACTTGTTATAAAAGGTATCAAGTATTTCAAAGTATTTCAGGGGTGTCCAAACTTTTTTTCATCAAGGGCCACATATCAAAACACAGATGAACCGGAGGGCCAATCAAGAACCACAGCCTGATATCAATACAGTGAATAATTCAAATATGTGCATTTATAACTGGCCATCAGTCCTTTATTCATGTTTAGATCCTCAATAGAACACTTTTAAGTCAATTTTCAAAAAGCTGCAGTAAAAAGTACTGATTAAAGTAATATGGGACAATTCATTTGGACGCCTGAGGGACAAAAAAATGGTCTGAGGGACATATTTGGACAATCTAAATGGTCAAAACATTTTCACAATTATAGAGCACTTTTTCTACCTTCAAAGCACTCAAAGCACTTCACATCAAGAAATCACTCACCCATTCACACACACATTCACACACCCATATACACAAACACTGGAAGCAAGGGGAGTTAAATGCCTTGCCCAAGGACACAATAGCAGTAATCATCCGTGACAGCTGAAATCGTACCGCGAATCTATGGGTCAGTAGCTCTGAACGCTCTACAAGTACAGCGTCAGAGCTCCACATACTCTGATTGGACTGCAGCTCACCATCTATTGGCAGCAGAGGGAATTACCATGTGGAAAACTTAAACTAGGTAATTAGGAACATGCCCGGACATGCTGCTGTAAGTATGTAGCAGTAATGAATGTTAAAAATGGCAAAATTGCTTAAACAAAATGGATTTAAAAACTGTGCTGGATCTCTTATCTGTGATGTCACAATGTTGGGAAATTTTAAAGAACTTTTTTTTTTCAGAATTACTGATAAAACCAACATTAACGATGCAAAATACTCCAGAAATGTTTTAATGAGGAAACAATATTCTAACATGGTAAGCTAAAGTTTGCCTAAAATGTGTTTTTGAAATTAGAAAGTAGGAGAAATGAAGCTTTTCTTTGTGTATACATGGCCCTAGGCATATACTTGGGCATGGGACTTTTTGTACTATTGATACTTTGCAGCTGATATCATCAACATTCCCACTGGGTGTGATGCTCTGCTTCTCAAATTAGGCTTTAATCTCATTTTTCTTTTAACATGATCTGACCATAATGAACTGACTTAGCTGGAAATACAACAGGTTAGCTGATTTGTGCTGTTAAACAAGGCCCTCTTCAATAAAATTATAGTCACAAGATAGCTAGTATTAGCCTTTCTGTTGAAAATCAGTTGTTAGGTTTGTTGAAAAACCTGTGCTCAGAGTCACAGTTTATATGTCTGTGCATGCCATCCACATTCTCTGTTAGTGTGAAGTGAAAGCACTGCTCTGTCTGAAACTTTTACTCAAGTTAGACATGAATCTGAGCTGTCTGAGCAATGTGCCCATGTTGGAACAGCAAAGTTGGAATAATCACAAGCTAGTGTGAGCCAACAGTTTTTCAGTTATTCTATGACCTTTTTGTTGAAAACAGAACACCTAAACAGGACCATGAACACTTGTACTGATCACAGGCTTCTGAAAATGTGCTCTTTTTCTTATTTTGTATCTTGAGTTCACATGGTAACATGATGGTGAACATAACGCCAATAGAGATGCATGTGGAACACCCCCAGTGTGGTGTCATTGCAAACTATTAACACTGTATATGTTTGTATGTAGACTCACTTGTGCATAGATTGTGTATATATTTGTGTATATAGTGTATATGTTTGTGTTACTACTGTATACATTTGTGTGTATACTGTACATGTGTGTGTGCAGATTCACTTGTGTACACTGTATACTGTATGTGTGTGTGTGCAGACTCATTTGTGTATAGTGTACATGTGTGTGCAGACTCATTTGTGTATAGTGTACGTGTGTGTGCAGACTCATTTGTGTATAGTGTACGTGTGTGTACAGACTCACCTGCTGGCAGCGCTCACACTGGTAGGGTTTCTCTCCGCTGTGCACACGTTTGTGCCTCTCCAGGTGGTAGCGCTGGATGAACCTCATGTCGCACATGTCACAGGCAAAAGGCTTCTCTCCTACAGCACAGGACACAGTCAATGCATCAGCATGCACAATCCACTCAAGTTAGCCAAAAACAATCAGCAATGTGTCTGGTGTATAAGTAGGGATGGACATTTTTTATATATTGGATAAATTCCTCAATATTTAACGTGGATAATTTGTCTAAATCTCTGTGTGCCCATGTGTCATTCCCAGTTTCTCCTCAGTGCATCAGATTGGTCTTTTGAACCTGATTAGTGAGTTACATTTATCATGAAAAACATCAGACCATCCCTATTTATAACAGTTTTAATATACTGAAAACATTTCAGAAGTGAGTGAGGCCTGTCATCAACTCATTATGTGTATTTCAGAGTGGACTTGAGTGTTCTGGTCCAGATGAGCAGCACCATAAACCAGGGCACTGTTTGGGTCTGGTTCAACATCCCATCAAATGACATGACGACCCAAACTCGAGTTTGTCGTGGCCTTGTCATGTGACATGTTTGCATCAGTTAAAGCTACAGGAGGAGGTCTCGTACCCGTATGAGTGAGGCTGTGTCTCTCCAGGTGGTTACGCTGAATAAACCGCATATCACACATGGAGCAAGCAAACGGCTTCACCCCTACACACACAGAGCAGGCGATTAGCTCAACAACAGGAGCAACTGCAGCATTAGCCTAGCACTAGCATTAGCCTAGCATTGGGTAACTCAAAACAACATGGCTTTTTTGTCTACAGTTTAAACACAGACTGTATGTGCCTACCACTGTCCACATCAACACCCATGACATACAAGGACAAAGAACACATACATATTCTATTACTTAAAATCAACCCTCGGTGAAATGCACCAGCAACTAATAAACATCAAGAGAAGTTTTCTTCACATTATTAAGATCAGTTGGCGATGAATGTGAGACTTAAATGTAGATCTGATGTTAACCCTGTACAATATTTAAAGCCAGGAGGATTCCTGTGCTGCTGTTTAAGCTAAGAGTTCAGTTTCCCTTGAAAGAGATCTGATGCCTTTATTGCTTCGTTTGTAGTAGTGCGGCGTGCAGAGGGCAGGACCCGTACCCGTATGAGTGAGGCTGTGTCGGGCCAGGTGGTAGCGCTGGACAAACCTCATGTCACACATGGTGCAAGCGTACGGCTTCACCCCTAAAACCATCAACACAGGATCTCAGTGCGAGTCATTCTGCTGTGTGCCTGTCACTAATCACCATTGATGGGCTGTTAACCATTACTATCAATGTTCACTGTTTAATATATGGAGAGTAAAAAGCATATTTAAAGCTTGAATTAATTGCCAAATGGTTTAAAATGCACAGCAGTGCGATTATTAGATCCAAACTAAACACAGACATGAGCTGATGATAGATCTATGGGCGGTGGGCGCCGCGTACCCATGTGCGTGAGGCTGTGTCTCTGCAGGTGGTACCTCTGGAAAAACCTCTTGTCACACATGGTGCAAGCGTAAGGCTTCACACCTAAACGCAGACAGCAGGATTACATCAGAGTTCTGCCAATGCTCACACAATACAAACATGTGGGCCAGCTCATGCATGAATAAGCCTTCTCTTTGTCATGATAAACTATATTACATGCTTTACTGAGCAATTACTATTCAAATATTTACGAAACACTGGAACTAACACATCAAATTATCTTATGCTGTCATTGCTACATCTGATACTTCAAGGAGTAACCACTTTCTCTGTACTAGTTTGAAGCACATTTAATCCTCCCTCATCATAAGAGCAAATATAAGCAATAAAATGAAGGTCAGTGGAGCCGTACCCGTATGAGTGAGGCTGTGTCTGGCCAGGTGGTAGCGCTGGACAAACCTCATGTCACACATGGTACAAGCATACGGCTTCACTCCTAAACGCAGAGCAGCAATTACTCACAGTCCATCAATAACAGGGATATATGTATGTTCACTTTATATTGATGGGGTGCTAACCACTTTATCAAAATTATTTTATGCAGCAAAATTCAATAACTTAAGTAAATTTGTACATCCACCACTGGACACACCACATGAGCTGATGTTGCTGCAGAGCTTATCAGTGCCCTAGTGATATAATAATAGTATAAACTGTAATTATACACATGAAGATCTGAGGCGGCCCATACCCATGTGCGTGAGGCTGTGTCTTTGCAGGTGGTACCTCTGGAAAAACCTCTTGTCACACATGGTGCAAGCGTAAGGCTTCACACCTAAACGCAGACAGCAGGATTACAGGGCGCCTCTGGTATCAGGCGATAACAGGCGCAACTACTGCTTTATGGAGGACACGTATGAGACTATAATGTGGAACTATCATCAAACTGCAGTGTAAGAAGAGCATACAGCAAGAGTCATCACTGAGAGTAAATCCTCCAGAGTAACTGTGTAAAAAGGGCTGAAGAACCAACATGGGGAAACCAGAACTAAACAGATCTGACCACAGAAGGACCATAGTTTTAGCCTGGCTAAGCCAGACTCTGGGCGCTGTATGGCAAAGTTTGTGCTGAGTTAATAAGCCAAAACTATCAAGAAGCAGTGGAGGCTCCTGTAAGTACGTTCACTTCTGTCGATTCAGTTTAAAATGACCAAAAGAAGTTTTTGTGTCGCCTTTTTAGAGCTATTGTGCTACTCGTCTGAATCGTTTCCTTCATGTACACTCATCGCTCATAAAATATATATTTGATTTGCAGTGCTTTGAGACAACACACTAATACAGTGAAGAGTCTGGCTGTGCCAGGCTAGCACATTTTAACTACCAGCTACATTAAATCACACAACACATGAACATCCTAGAGCCCCTTTCACAGAGGACGCTGTTTCACTGAAGGTAGAGTTTATGTGACACAGTGCGCTGATGTCAGATTGGTGGGTCTATAGAACCTTGAAAGACTGATCAAACAGTTTGAAAGTGATCAGCTCCTTTAAATTTCAGCATTAAAAATAGCTCTTGGGGTTTGAGGACACTAAGGTGATGTTGAACAAAACGAGATAATATAATGAAGTTCGTTTAGATTTCAAATGATTGCCTCTACACACCACCTCCTGTGGATACTTTGATGTAGCCTCTGTCCACTGGAATAGTAATGCGTGAGCCGGTTTGGATAGGGGGTGTCTGCACTGGCCTAAGCCACTCGAGGTGGCTAAAACCAAATGGAAATGTGTGAAGCAGAGTAAAGGTGTGCCAAATCAAACAGACTAAGGCTGAGGTGATGGCAAAGACCTAAAAGCTACACTTGGCACTGTTGGGTTCAAGCCCTTGCACTTGGACCTTTACTCTGTAACTGAGCGATAAAGAATATTCATGAATGCCCTGGCCTCCCTCAGTGGCTGCTGCGTTCTCTGTGAAAGGGGCTGGTGTGGTATGGTGCCTCATACCAGTGTGCGTGAGGCTGTGTCGGGCCAGGTGGTAACGCTGAAAGAACTTCATGTCACACATGGTGCAAGCGTACGGTTTCACCCCTAAACGCAGAACAAGTTATTTCTGCTGCTACGGTTCATTGCCATAGACTGTAAATATACATGGACATAGCTAGCCCGCTGGCCATCATGTTTGGTTGCGATACGGCTCCATCCACTCTGATTCCAATTTACTTTCTACTGAAAAATGGTCGCCTCTCTCTCTGTCACTGCTGCTGTCAGGCTTCTTATTTTGGTTTTAACCCACTTTACACAATATTGGCATTTTTAGTTTTCAATTTTGATTGTAAATCAAGAATAAAAAAATCACGTGTTTTCTTTCCCCAAGGTCAGCATTAGAAACAGGTGTAACTTACTAACCTCGTTGCTAAGTGCCCGCTATTTGCCAAAGAGGCGAGTACCTTCAGCAGCCTCGCTCCTGATTGGTTTTTTGATTGTGCACTCGGATTTCCCAATATGGCTCCAAAATTAGCCAGTAAAACTGGAGGCTTCAATAAGCTTCATTTGGCTGGCGCTATGAGTGACATCACATTCTCTCAGTCCACTTCTATATACAGTCTATGTTAATGACCAAAGTCAGGCCCTGGGCTAAGGCACTAAAATGTCTGTATTGAGCTTAAAAGTCCCTCCTGCACAGAATATGAGCTGGTGCTTCATGTTACTGCTAACTCTATAAAGTATAAAGCAGTGTGAGAGCAGGGCCTGTGTAACAGTGGCAGCAGTGATGGGACTGGAGCATACCCATGTGCGTGAGGCTGTGTCTGGCCAGGTGATACCTCTGGAAAAACCTCTTGTCACACATGGTGCAAGCGTACGGCTTCACCCCTACACACACAAAGGCTTTAGCACACACAGGGCAACTGCCAAAAATGATCTGGACTTTACTGAAATATCAGTTAGTCAAACGTGAAGGTCAGATTTCCAATGTGGGCTATCTCCAATTTCCAGTATTCTTCCGTTATCATTTTAAATCTTCGCCAACGGTTCAAATTCCGACAATTTAGAAAATGAAAAAGGTGGCTCCAAATCAAAAATCAAAACACCAAATTATATTCCTCTTTAATTTCCAGCCAAATCAGCCTGAATCGTCCACAGAATTTGCCAAGTGCCTGCGCTCAGAGGCAAGACAATTTTAGGCAGTTGTTGGACAACTATTCAAATCATAACATTCAACATAGATAATGCATTTGTATGTTTCATGTAAACATGCATCAAATACATGTTAAACCTGCACCTAAAATGATTTTACAACCATCTTACAAATCATGTGTAAATGTTTGGTAAAGAGTGAAAGTTTATTGAATGTGAAATGACACAATGCCCCGGTGGATGAATCGACTCTTCAGTCTCACAGCTGTGGCCTGATCTGGGCCTCTGGACCTAAAGGAGGAGGAGCCTCGTCCGATCAGTGAAGGCCTGAACTGTTCAGCTCTGTCTCTGAGAGTCTCAGATGGAGAGAGAATCCTTCAAGATATTCAGCTCAGAACTGGGCTGGGAGAGCTGAAAGGGGGTCTCACTGACATACCCATGTCAGAAGACATCACAGGACCAGGTTGTCCTGTGGATGTTTCAGAAGAGAGTGGTCTCTGTCACTGGGCTCCTGCCTCAGGTCCAGGGAGGTGTCTTGAAGTGTTCTCCATAAGAGATAAAACTGTGGGAGTGACTGAATGCTTTCTATCATCAGACAGTCTGAACTTGTCTAAAGTGATCAGGTCCACAGCCTCAATCAGCCCCAGTTGCAAAATGTTGCCCCACTTTCAGGGACTCTGAGTTTAGCTGCTGAGGCTCCTATTGTTCTCCATCTCTGTGTTCAAGTCCCTCTGGTGTTGTACAGGAGGAGATCATCAGAGCTCTTCAGAGTTAGTCTGGGTGAAGACAGTGCACTGCAGCTTACCTTTGTTGTAGCTTTTCTGCACTTTTGTTCACATTCAACAAAGTGCACCCTTTCTGGTCCAAAGCTGCAATAATCTATTTTACTCCATCTATGTGATTCACAATGTTGCATTCAGGACATAAATTCACTTCTTGAGCTAGGCCTGGTCAAGACTACCCGAGCTGGAGGATTTTAAGTTTATGGAGGAAAACAGGGTTCCTGGAGCACACCCATCCAGGGCAGCACAGAAAGGTGTCATGCCAATTGGAAGTCAAACCCTGAACCTTGTGCTGTGAAGCCAGAGTACCAGACATTTATGTACAATGTCATCTCACTAGAGCCCCCTGCGGGTGTAGTGAATATTTTGTCTTCTATTCATTTTGGTCACTGTGAAGCTATAAACATGTGAGGTGAAGGAGATGAGCTGTCACCCTGACAGTGTGATGGGGATGACGAGCTTGTTGTTGTAAAGGAGCTTTAATGGAGATATCAAAGTAAATCTTGGGTGGAACCAATTATATAAAATGTTTTAGATGGTCATTGTGTCATCCCATATCCCAAGTCTGAATCAAGTACAAATGTACCTTAAAACTGAATGTTCCCTACAGAGATCACAAACTCGAGTTTGAAGTAGTCATGTGACAGATGCATGCAGTTGGTCCCCTCTCTCAGACGTACCTGTGTGAGTGAGGCTGTGGCGCTCCAGCTGGTAGCGCTGGATAAATCTCATGTCACAGATGGTGCAGGCGTAAGGCTTCACTCCTGCAGAGCACAGCACACATCAGTCCACAGAAACACTCAATATATAATATAAACATGCACCAAATACACGTGTTTTCAGATAGAACACAGTCACTTTGTCAGTGGACAGTCTTCCAACAAAGTCCAAGCATTAGCATAATTAAATAGTACTGTACTTAAAGGTACAATAATACATATTTTGTGATACAGTAGTACATAGTATTATTCAGGTTTGTAGAGGGTGCCTACCAGTATGAGTGAGGCTGTGCCTGGCCAAATGGTATCTCTGGAAAAACCTCATGTCACACATGGAGCAAGCGTACGGCTTCACCCCTGGATACAGGGCCAAACTTTAGCACGACGCACACATTCTACAGTCTGACCTCTGACCTCACTGTGCTCTACTACATATATTGAAAATACACAACAGCTCCAACTAGTGTCAGTGAGAGGTAATGAAAGCATGTACCCGTGTGCGTGAGAGTGTGTCGGGCCAGATGATATCTCTGGAAAAACCTCATGTCGCACATGGAGCAAGCGTACGGCTTCACCCCTGCACACACAGAACACTATGAGACATCACAGGACCAGGCCCTGTTCAAACAGTCTATTGGACCACCTATGTTTCTGTCATTATGTGTCAGAGTCACTGCAGTGAAAATAATGGTGTCAATTTGAACAAGTCCATTAGAGTCTGAGGCAGCACAGTCTACAGAGGGCACTGCTGCGTACCAGTATGAGTGAGGCTGTGTCGGGCCAGGTGGTACCTCTGGAAGAACCTCATGTCACACATGGAGCAAGCGTACGGCTTCACCCCTGTGCAGAGGAGGCACAGATTAGACTGACTACTGCCTTTGAGCAGGAGATCAGGGGAGGGGGGCTAGCTCACATTCTTTACTTAGATAAGAGTGGGCTGTATGAAGTATAGTTGTATATAGTATAGTATAGCATAAAACACTGAGATAAGACTAAGACAAATCAGTGTGCAGTGTAAAATAGCTGTGCACATTTTCATATAATCAGTCGATTTACATTTGTAGTTCTGTAATCAACTATAACACTGCGGGACATCAAAGGACTTCAGTAAAGTCAACACAAGTTTATATATAAAAACTGAAGCTACTTGAATGAATGAAAAACAAAGCGGGAATCATAACATGTGAAGTCTAACTACAATTAGGTGAAAAAAGCCTAACATATCTTATGGTAAAAACATAAACATGATAGTGGGGTACGGTCTCATACCAGTGTGAGTGAGCTTGTGTCTCTCCAGGTGGTAACGCTGGAAAAACCGCATGTCACACATGGAACAAGCGTACGGCTTCACTCCTACACACAAACAGAAATATTAGTCTAGGTTTCAGGCTTCAAATACTCAAAAAGTATTCAGAGTCCAGAGCTAAGATCATGTACATGGTGTGTAGATGCAACAGTTTAAGCGCCTGTTCATTTATTCCTGTTAAGATAAATGCTCTTCACATCATGCATTGCATGCAAAGATGATAAGTGTGAAAAAAAATAATAATTTTTACAACTTTTTGTCCTGGCTGACATTATCCCATACACTTGGTTCTCTGTCATGATGCATTTTTCAGTGCTGATATTGAACAGTTTGAGGATATCCCACTTTGGTCTATAAACTGGTATAAGACTGACCAATGTTGGCCTAACATGGCCCAATATATTGAACGTATATTGAAAGTAACGTTCTGTACTTACTTTATATGATGATAAACAGTTACTAAATACATCTGGACAATTTATTACACGCTTTCTGTGTTTAAAGGAAATAAATCATATTTTCAGTCTCTGCCCTGGCATCTGTTGATATTGGGGATTGGCAGATACACTTGATGGTTTGAAATCAGGCCCTGTAACTGCAGAGAAGGTCCAACATATATATGTGCTATATTTTCATTTAGTCCTTTGATGTCCACGCAGAGTTTTATGTGAAAACCAAACATGTTTTAGTAAAATGAAACCTAAAACTGCACTTCTGCCTGAGTAAATAACATTTCAAAGCTGCAGTTTCAAACATGAGTCTGTGTGGGAGGACAAGCCTTCTGATTTCTCCAGAATGCCAAAGATATGTATTGTGTTTGTGGAATAGCACGATATTTTTTTGTACAAAAGTCTTTCTATAATGTACCTCCAACAGTAAGGCGGAGGAATGGGAACTTGAAATTGAAACTATATTCGACAATTGGCTCTGTGTACAACCCCGACTGCATCTCTATGGGTTTTTTGCCGAATCATGCTAAAATAAATACAAGGCAGTGGACATGGAGTTGTGGTGGATGTCACTGTCAACATGTTTGACAGTGACAACATGAGACAAAACAAAGGTGAATACTAGAAAGGGGATATTTGTATCTCAATGCTAATGCTTAATTTGAGATATAATAAACATGAAAACAATGCCAAAAACTGAAGTAATCTACAAAGCTATTTAAAGCTATAGATAGTCTTTCATTTTAAATTTCTTTCACTTGTTTACAGCTATATTTTACATTTTTAGTAAAAGCATTATCTTTGAGACACGATGAATTGTTTACTGTTTATAATAGTGTTGTTATAGTTTATAATGTGCCATAGATGAGTTGTTTCTTTTGTGTGTTTGGGGCAAGAGCTTGTTGGAAATGACTGTCCACAAACCAAAGGAATGTTAATAAAGACAGAGCAGTGTAGTGAGCTGTGTACTATGATTTGCTATAGTGTATAATATAATGTAAAGGGCTCTTACCTGTGTGAATGAGGCTGTGTCTTTCCAGGTGATAGCGCTGAATGAACCTCATGTCACACACAGCACACGCATACGGCTTCTCCCCTGAACAAACAAACCAAAAGTTAGTCTTCAAAGTGTACTTTAGAAACATAAACAACATTCTAGTATCCCTAGCATCATTCTACTATCCCTGTAGTTTAAATTCCATGCACCATCACTGGAATAATTTGGATCATTTCAGCCCTGGAATTGCCAGTCTACTGAACAAAAGGTAAAAGGTAGCTATTAACTTGAAAACTACCGCTTCATGACATCAAAAGGTGAAACAGAGCGATTTGAGGTTTGGAGATGCAGACAGACTGTTAATAAAGAGTTACTGTTGTTAAAAACACAGGTATGTTTTTGATGAGGTAACAACGTTCTAACATGGTTTAAACTCACAAAAGGAAATTTTGTGCAATATAGGACCTTTAATGTGGAGATGGAGGGCAGGTCAGAATTCTGTGGTAGAATTTGCTGTTTAACTTTCAGATTGTAAATTTGTTGACCTGGTTTATGGTTAATATCTCTGTAAGTACCCAATAATAACAATGACTGGATGTGTACTGAAGGGGGCATTACCTGTGTGAATGAGGATGTGTCTTTTCAGATGGTATCCGCTCCTAAACGCTCCGTAACAGTGATCACAAATAAAGTTTTTCTGCACTTTAGACGCAGGGCCATTCTCGTCTCCGTTCGGCCCCTGGAAAAAAACAGATTTTCTTCAACATGTTTCTCCACCAACTCAAATGTGAAGCTAACCCACACACATAGCTACCTGTCACCTTTATTTTGTTGTTTCTTCTGTTTTACCAGTAGCCAGAGTTGACAGGTACAGAAACAGCCAAAGAACAACAACCTTTTATTTGCATGTATTTAACTAAAATGTGTCCTGCCCCAGTACAAGAAATGTATATTGTACATATTGTATAAGCAGCTCTTGAGGTCAAAATAAGCCTGGTGTCCTGTTGGCATCTAATTGTTGCAGCGTTATTGTGAAGGCAAAACTCTGCACAGGCCTCAGAAAATTGCGAAAAGACCTTATAAAGTCATGGCAGTATATAATTAACATAGTTCAGTCTTTGGAGGAAGGATTTTTTTTTAAAAAATTTAAGTGAAATTAAAATGATTAAAAGTATGTGTTTTTATGCTCTGGAAATGAATATTGAAACCAGTTTTATTTGTTTTAATAAAACTAATTTTAAATGAAAATTTTAGTCAATGACAAAAACTGTGATTTTTTTTCTATCTCTTAACCCTGTCTCCATGTGCTCCATACTATTTTCACACATCAGATTCAAAGATAACCTTTAGGCAGAACCTTTCATTCCTGATACAGTTTTCTGTAATAGAAGAGACTATGGCGGCCCTCAGTCTAAAATTTTCCCCGATAGCCTAAACTAAGCTGTAATATATTGTTATCCTAAAATGACACTTTGTATTTGTATTTTTATAACCCTTTAAAAGGAAGTATAATTATTAAAAAATATATACTCTGATTGAAAATAGGCATTAAGTGGCATTTGGATCAGTCGACTAATCAATTTATTTAGATTATAATCATTTACGTGGATCAACAGCAGAAAGGAGAAGTGACTTAGTGAGCTTTCTTAAGATTTTATATATATATTTTTTGGTATTTATAGCTAAGAAAGTGTAATCTTGTGAGTGCAGTCTTGGGTCAGATGCACAGAGATACTTAATAGTATATGGAGCTTTTACCACGCCCCCTTTAGAGTCGACTAATCAATCGGCAGGACATGTCTTTAGTCGACCAAAAATTTCTTTTGCCAACTACAGCCTTAAATTACACAATACAATTTATACAAGATTAAATTGCTCAAATAAAAAAAAAATCTATACCACTACAATCTTCTCCGGGTCTATGGGAAATACTGCTGATGGCCTAGTGCCCTGGTGCTGCTGGCTGTTCCCCGTTCGACACAACTGCAGTTATTGTGCTCTGTCTCCTCCGCTCCCCTCCCCCCTCTCTTCTGCACACAACCTCCACCCCCTCCGCCATTTTCCCTCCGCTCCTCCCCCCATCCACCCACCCCCACACAGCCGCGTCTGCATGCATGAGAGCTCCCACCAGACACTCTAACCCTGTTAAACGACGGAAAACAGAGAGATTCTTAAAGTCTAGAAGTCTTCAAATATGGGTTTTGTTGAATTACAGATGATAAGGCTTTTCTATTGTGCTGCATAAAAAGGAAACCAAATGGGGGAAAATGATTTTATATAAAAACTGCCAATTATAAAATTCTGATTAGAGTGACCTTGCAAATTAAAACCTGCTGCTTCTTACTGGCTACAAACTGAATTTTATCTGAAACAATAAAACCTGGAAACTAAATTGTGTACTTTGTCTGTAATGTGCACATTGTGGACATGGCCTTCGTGAGTGCAGCAGACTACTTTTTAAACACCATACGCTGCAGAGTCCGGTGCTGAGGTATAAACCACTGACTGACCTTCCCTCCCCTCTCGTCGTGTTCTCTCACTTTACACGGAGGCACAGTTTTCCTGTTCTTCTTCTTCAGCTGATCCTCATTCGCCCTCATGTCCTTATCGTCCAGGAGTCGAGGGGTCTGGTACTCTCCTTCCTTTCGGATAAGCTGCGAAAACGTTCAATAAATCAGTTCAAGTATTCCCCAAAACACCACAATATCTGTTATGATGTAATTATGGACAAACACTGTAATTATGATTTCACTGTGACTAATATGTTATTGTAACAGGTTCAGTAATTAAATGGTATTAACAGACTTGGATGATTACTCAAACTACACTCCTGAATATCAGTTGTGAACTGTTGGTCAAGACTAATTAATTCCTATCATAAAACTGAAAGGAATGCAATTCCCAGGTTGGTGCTAACCAGAGGCGGACAGCTCATCCCCGATGGGAGGATCATGTGACTCTGGGGGGGTCGGTCAGGGACCTCTCTCGGTGGGGGGCCATGGCCAAGTGGAGCCATCATCTTCTTGGGCGGAGCGCCCATCGTACTGGCCTGCATCAGGGCCATGCTGGAGAGGACAGCCTCGCAGCCAAGCAGCCCCGCCTGAGCAAATCAAAAAGAAAACATATGAAAGAAGATGAATGGATCAGCAGGGTACACTAAAATGTATATTTCTTCTGCCAAAAAAAAAAAAAAGTATTCAACATCGACAACATCCTGAGTGACACAATACTGCATTAGTGCTAATGACTTTGGTGTTTAAGACAAACCCATTTCATATGGTCGCGCACTGAGCTGCTGGGCAGATGGGACATGGCTGTGGGGAGTGTGGGCGCAGGGTCATCCACAGAGCGTCAGTCAGGATGGTCGGGGCTCATCTAGTATTAAACTGAGGAAAGGAGGACACAATCAAACACACAAGAACAACACCAATACAACGGAACAAATGGAATACATCATCATGATACAAATCCTGCAGGCATGAATTTACTGTAACAAAAATATAAAACATTAATATTAAATATATATTTGATATCTACCAAAGGCTTCCAAATGCATACACACACTGAACTCTGAATCGTGAGCTAACAACCCAACTAGTTGAGGATCCCCCACCATCCTCAAAAACTTCAATTCCATACTGTTGAATCCATGTGTAGCAAATGAAGCTTTTGTAATAAATGTTCTTTACCTATGAATGTCTGAACAAATGGCAGATGAGAACATACTCATGGACAAATTTAACATATCATAAAAGCACTTAACAAATAATAATTTCCAGTGTGTACGCATCTCTTTCAAATGAGAAAGTTTGTGGGATCATTTCGTATTTGTGTATAGGTTTAATGTTTTCTCCACATGTGCTCATATCTGGGTGTATGCAGGAGTAGTAACATAGTAACAGTGGTCTATGGTGCGCACTGGCGGCTACTTTAGCTTAGTTGCTTGGATCAGCTTGTCTTTTACTGCAACTTTTAGGAGACGCTTTGCACAAAACTGCAACCTTTATCTTGCGTGCATTTCTGTACTTCCACGGGAGACTATGTATGCGACTCAGTCCCCCTCTGCGTCAGCTTTTCCACATAAAAGCACAGGACTGAGGACTGAGGCTCGTCTGAGGCTCTGCTAGCTGTTCTGTGGCGCCCTCGCCCACCTCCACATAAACGATACGGAGTTGAAGCAACACTTGTTTGAAAACGTCGAGATGTAGGCTTATATCATCCAAAACACTCAATCTTACATAGAAGAATAACAACCACGCCTTTGTAGAAAAAATGCACATAAAAAGACCTATCATTAAGCTGGTAAAAGATTGAGCGATAAATGCATTCGTGATGGCCGCCCGCCTCCCCCTCCCAGAGAAGCTAGCATTTGTTAGCCTCCTAGCCCTGGATAACACTGGCGCTGTTTTATTCAGTATAACATGATCAAGATTTCACCAGCTGCACCCCTATGTGCCATTCTAATAGACACACAGTTGGATGCATAAACTAACACTGATCAAATAATATGCTCCTAATGTAAAGCATAAAATCGTGGGCCGTACCTGAGCGCTGTCGTCGGCCGTGGTTTTCTTCAGCGCTAGTTTACAAACAGAGGAAACGCCACAGGAAGCTCCACTCCCCCACAGCCCGCACAGCCTCAGCTCAGCCCAAAGATCAGCCCCGCCAGGCGCATCTTCAGCCTGCCCCGGCCCCTGCTCACGACCCCCGCTCCAGACCCGCGCACGGACTCTCACACGGGGACAGCCGAGGAAGCAGCTCTGCGCCCGGACAGAGGCCTGGCGCCAAACAGACGTGTTTTTCTCTGGATTTGTGCAGAAGATGGCCCCGTGTCTGCGCCAGAACCACACCGAGACGAGGCCGGAGAAAGGCTCTGAAGAGACGGGGCTCAGCCTGCAGAGGGCGACACTCTTCACGCACAAATCCTTAATAACACTGCTGCCACACTGTGATAAACATGATACAGGCCTGTTTACATGTTTGAGACTAGTAGATCATTTACAGATTGCAGAAGGTGCAACCTTGTAGGTCATATCAGACATTTACTACAAAAACTAACTGTAGGCTACTATAGGCCTAAAGTGTTTTTGAATGTGAATCACTCCCAACATTGTAACACTCCCAACACTAGACACCTGATATTTTATTCAACACTTTGATAACAATAGTACTGTGCAATATGATAGGCACAAAATTGTCTATATTGCTAATAACTTTACTAATTGTACAAAATATAGCTTTAGTTGTATTCTTTGCATTCTCCTGTAGTTACTTTATGGGTCATCTCATTTTATCTGATCTTGTTTAATAGATTTTACTACTGAATTATGACTTTACCATTAAAGTAGCCTCAGTCTAATTTCTTATATTTTCTCCATATTTTAACTACAAACCCCAAAACTCAAAAGAGTTAACTTAAACTTAACTTAAATATAATGTGTTTATATTGTCTAGATATAGAAATAGTTTGTGTGTCCTGATTACAGTTCACTATCAAAGCAAACCCTACATGACCTGTAGTATACCAAAACAACAATAGTTAAAAATACCTTATCTCTCTTCACTGTCATGGATCTTATTTTCTAAACAAATTAAATGCAAACACTGAACAACATGAGAGGACCTATTTATAAAAGGCCCGTCCACAAGCTTGCACTGTTGTTCTTTCCTTCTTACAGAAAGTTGACTGACTTGCTGTCATAAGATCACACATGAGTCATTTCCTTGTCTGATATTATGCCAACAATTTCACTATAGCTTATTGTGCAGAATGTATTGAGAAATAATTCCTCCAACTTTAGGCATGGGTCCCTTTGCTGGATTCATTCACTTTATATTCTAAATAGCTTAATAAATAAATCCTTATAATACATACAAGTAGATAAATAAATAGAAAATCACTATTGTCTTCTACTCGAATTGACCTGATGACAAAATTTACAAGTGTGGCACAAATAATGGTTTTCTTTATTTCAAAGGTACTTCACCTGCATGATTCCATGGAAATAGAAAAGCTAATACCATGGAGATATATATGTGTAATGCCATACTGTGGAAGATTGGTGCATTTCCATCGAAACATGCAAAGGAGAACCTCTTTCCGGAGTCAGGTTTGTGAGGATGCAATCAGGTAAGGATGCATGTTTTTGAAGTTTGTCAGTGCAATAAACACAGCCAAAAAAAAAAAAAAAAAAAAAAAAAAAGAAAGAAAAAGTTACATAGCCTGCTGCGGTTTAAGTATTCTTTGTTACTCTAAACTTATCCATAGAAGAGAATTTGCCCAGGGGGACATTATTATTTGTCATTAGTTACACACTTGTTCACATTGGGTGCTAGTGGACAGGTACGGCTGAGTGATTCGCGCTCTGATTGGCTGACACATCCAGGTGACCGGAGCCTGTCCAATCCCGGTGTCCCTGCTCCTCCCTCCGCCCTGCTCCTCTGCTCACACCGGGACAGACGCTCCTAGCCCAGTGTCAGGTGTCCCGCAGGTTTCGCTCCAGCTCCGACTCCGCGGAATTTTGTACAGGTGAGTCTCCAGCTGAAACTTCCACTTTTTATATCGATAAACTCATTAAATCAGCGTTAAAGTATCGTTTTACGTCGGGTCGGTTCGTGTACGTACTGTCGTGAACGTGAAGCGCACGTGGGTTTTAACTGACTTTATAAAAAGGGCGACGTCGCGCTAGCAGTTGCAGTTTGTCCTCCGGCAGCTAGCAGCCACCTGTCGAAAAACGCTGAAATTAAGCAGGACATTAATTTAATTTTGTTTAAAATTTCACAGGCATTTGCTCTCCACCCTTAGCTTTTAGGCGCAAACGGGGTGTACCTGCTGCATACCTGTAATTACATTTCTTTGAAGACACTTGAAGGTTTATGAATAGTAGTTTTGTTTGTTCCTTACGTTACGTCAATCTGAACGCCAGTGCCTAGAAAGTATACACACAGAGAAATGTTGCACAATGCAACTTCTCCAAGCTACTCAAACTTAAGGTGATCAGACATCCCTATTTACCCGGGACAGTCCCAGTTTTGAGCCTTGTGTCCCCTGTCCCAGCAGATTTATCTAAAACCAATGATTTGTCCTAGTTTAATACAAGAAATATCCCAGGTGTCTCTATTTTTGACCAGTCTGATCCCTGCCATACATTTCAGAGAGTCATACATTGCCATTTGTTCAGGTAAAATACAAAAAATCTGCTTAAAAATGACCAAAACACAAAATGTGACTATCCTGACTCACATTAGTGCTATGTACATAACAATTTTCCTTAATTGCGCACTCCTTTCACAATTTTATTATTACCAGCCAACCCACACAAGGGATGGACCAGTTTTTGTTTTGTTTTGTTTTTTTTTAAAATCTGTCCACACTATGATAACATAAAATTGTTATAAGTCTTTTATTTCATTCTAACTTCATAGCATAGGTACAAAGTTGAAAACCAAAGCCATAATAACATAATGAATATAAAACTTTATCTTATAAAGTTAATTTGCTATTGCATCACTTTTGCTTCAAATGGAACCAAATGGTAAGATGATTTGGTTACTTAATGAAAAAAATCGTAACACTTAGGATGTAAAGAAGAAACGCAAATAGCCTATTAGTAATATGGAGTAACTAGGTCATCTTGCTTTGACCCCACCCTCTGCTTGTAATTAAGACATCTCCCTGATTATAGTCTAGTTGGTAATACTTTGTGGGCCTATTTTGTGCTTCTTAAATATATTTCGATTTTTATTTTATTTATGTGATCTTTTACTCTTATTGCTGTAGTCTACCTAGACCAGTTTATGTTGTAGTTTCACTTTTGGCTCGGGTCTCTTTGACAGTCGAAAGACATGCAAAATAGCTGGACTAGCAACTTTCTGCATGACTTGACCTGTATTTACTACACTCCATGACCATTAACTCTGCACCTGGTTTACAGTGTAACCAAAAACTACTGGACAACCTTAAGGCAATATGGAATAGAGTTATGGAAAATTATTGTGCCATAAAAAAGATTGTTGTCCCTCTGGGGAATTGTATTGTAATGGTTTTTTTTTTGGTTTTTTTTTGTGCTGCTATAGGGCAAGTAATATCGAAGTAACGAAAATCAGATACTAATCCATACTAGTACAGTAGATACTCATTTGAGCAGGTATCGATGCTAAAAGAGTGGCATTCACAGAGCAGAAATGAACCTTTAGAATGATCTTGAGTTGTATCAGAACAAGTATAAGAGCACTTAGACTAATATACGCCCATGGACTACTATGGAACCTACCTGCACCACTGAGGTTTACACGCATACAAGACCACATGGGAATAGAAAAAAATGTAGATTACTATTGTTTAATGTTATTGTCTCAAGAAGAAAGACTGTTTTTATTATGATCGTGGTATCAGAATTATTATTAAATATTGAGTCTGTTCTTTCAAAATAGAGTCTGAAATAGTAGTGCCATGACAACAGTAATTTGCTTCCAATCTGCAGTCTGTAGAGGTGAGACATCATCTCAGAGATAATAGGTTATCATAGATCCATTTTTAACTGAAAATAATGCACAAGAAATGTTTCAACTAAATTGCAAATACATAATGAACAGGCTACTTAGTTATGTTTACATTTTGTTTTGCCTCAATATGAATTAATTAAATTAATTAATCATTGCATTTATAGAGCACCTTTCAAGACACACAAAGCGCTTTACAGTTTTTTTTTGCTTTTTTCTTGTTGTTCATTCACTCCACACTCATGGGGTGGTAGTAAGCTTCTATTGTAGCCACAGCTGACCTGGGCAGACTGATAGAAGCGTGGCTGCCAATCTGCACCATCGGCCCGTCAGACCACCACCATCACTCACGCACACTCCGCTTTCTTACTAGGACTTTCTTACTAGGACTTTCTTACTAGGACAATGACCTTTGAATTAGGCAAGTTTTATGTAGTTTTTTTCTTTTTGCATGATGATCTATAAGGGATATTTTAATATTTGTATAATGTCAATGTACTATTTACATTTTAAAACGTTAAATCAAAGTTGTTTTTGCAGTAAAGAACAATGTTGATGTATTGTTTTGAGCCACAGTGTTTGAACAATCAACAGATCAGAAGGTTTGGAGTTATTAAGCCGCAGTAGCTCAGTTGGTAGAGGGTTCATCCACTGAGCCGAAGGTTGACAGTTTGAATCTTGCTCTAGACATACACATTATTGGTTGAACTGTCAGATCCACTGACTGAATGGGTGAGTGGTTCCTTGATGTAAAGTGCTTTGAGTGCTTCAAAGATGGAAAAACAACAAATGATCCTCTCCTTGTGTTAAAAAAAAACAAAAAAAGAAACACTGTTACCTAGTCCTTTTTTTTTACATAATTAATTGTTTTTGTATGAACTCCTGTGCAGGTTGTGAGTGCAGTTTGGGTCAGACACACAGAGACATGCAATAATTTTGAGAGCTTTTGTCACGCCCCCTTTTTAGTCTACCAATCGATCGACAGGACAAGGCTTTAGTCGACCAAGAATTTTTTTTAGTCGACTACAGGCCTAACTGTCTACTAAGACTGAACAATTTTGGAATATTATCTAATTGCATTCTTTTCTGACTAGCAATTTGGTTACAATTTCATTTGTGATTTGTGTTTTTTCATAAGACTCTGTGTGCACGATTAAAACACTTTAAGAAGCATAACAAGAAGGCAGAAATCTTAACTGCTAATCTAATACAAGAATCCCGTGCATTTCGGTGAGGGAATTTCAGGAATGGTAGATTTATATAAAGACAGATTAAACTCATTTTTATTATTAATATGCCTTTTTATGAATACCAAAAAATACCAAATCTTAAGTTAACTAACGAACTAACTAACTAACTCACTCACTCACTCATTCATTAACTAACGTCTCCTTTCTGCTGTTGTCTCATATAAACCCTTATAATCTAAATGAAATAAATAGAAAACTAAGGCTCCGTCAATGAATCGATGAAAGGCCTTCTGCGCTAGTGACAATATTCTAAATCCTGCAGCTCTTTAATGTTACTTTCAATTGTCTTATGTGCTCTGGCGCATTCACAGACAGAAAACAGTGTCGTAATGGGTCCAAAGTCTCAGGTCGGTCTGTCACTCAGAGCTCCACGTGATGATGTAATGAGTGGAACAGGCTATAGCAGGTGGAACCCTCTATGTTTCAGGGTGATTCAGCGTCCAGATAAGGCTGCGTCTGCACAAAGAGACATTCACGATCGAGAAGTAGTGCGTCACGGTGAGGTTTGTCATTTGTTACGTAACGTTCATAACAAGCTGCGCAACAAGCGGACACTCTATACTTTACTTTTACTTTATGTTTGATTTGTATCCATGATCGGTAAAGATCATAGAGTTAACTGCTCTTTCCTGAGGCTAGAAATCTACTTTGCTGCAGTGACTTTAAAAAACTCTGCCACCAATGATAAGATTTTATACCACCAGATCTAAACCAGGACTTGAACTGGACTATTCGCTGAACTACGGCTAAACTAGGTCAAACTGAGAAATAGCCAAAGACGAGCAAATGTGGATAAAATGTACTCTAGACTAAAGGCCAACTATGTAACTTTTTGGTTGGAGGTCCGTCACCTGCTTATTTCTATGGATATGTCATTGCTCTGCCTGGAATGTTCCAAAGTATGACAATAAACAGCTCTACCATACACTTACTCAACTGGAGGAGGTTTTACAGCTCAAAAATGGCTAGAAAAACAGGTATTCTGACTAGGGATGGGCATGATTAGTCGACTAATCTCTAATTCGTCATTAAGAATTTCGTCGATTATGTTCATTTCTAATCGACAAACCGAATGTAGGTTTCTGTGCGTAGATACAAAGCTGCATCTGACAGAGCAAACACTGGCGTTTCAGCTTCATAGTCCCACATTTTGGCTCTAGCACGTGACCTGATTGTTTACATGTACATCTGTATCCCGGTTTCATCTTGGTGCATGTACACGCAGTATCTCGGTTACTGCAACATAAAGAGCTGCACTGAACCTACACATGTATGATCTCTAAAAACATGAACCATCTCCAACACACACAGAACACACTCATCATCATTATCATCATCATCAACATCCCTCTGTCACAGAAAGAACATCTATCCATCTTTCATTTCTAAGACTTGCGCAAACCTGCATTAAACATGTTATAATGTCAAAGGGGCTGATGTGGCTCTACAGTGGTTATGCTTTATATGTTGTAAAATTGAGTTTATTTATGCAGATTAGTAATAGTAATAATAATGATGATACTTTTTATATTAAAACGTTAATGATTAATCGAAAATTGATCGTTAATTCTCCCAACAATCAATTAATAAAATTTCATCGAATGCCCATCCCTAATTCTGACTGTGGGCCACAGATCTTACCTGTAACTGGGTCTGGTTTGGTCTCCATGAAGATAGAAAGGTTTGCTGGTAATACCATTAAATTAAATTAAATTAAAATAATTTCTCTTGGAGATCAATAAAGTTTGTCTAAGTGTAAGTTTAAGTCTGAAACATT